AAAAATCAAAAATATTTTTTAAACATTAATGAACTCCGAAGTACGACTGGTTACATATGTTGTAGCAACTATTAAAAAAAATGTACCTATAATATGTAGGGAACCAAATATTCACATTAAATCAATAAATTTATGCAATTGCTTTGTAATATGCGATAATAATATTCAAATAGTTTATTTTAAGTTTGTTGATTATATAATCTACATACTTAAATGTCTACTTTTAATTTTCCATAGATTGGAGTATAAATATTACAATATTTATATTAAGTCTAACTATATCACATATACAAAATATATTAAGCTTACATATACAAACTAAGAATTTACGTAAGAGAGTTTATATATAGATCAAACTGTAAATATTTTCAGATACTTAAAATTTATTTAAACTGCACTTAATTTAATCCAAACTTACTAATTTACTTACAGCGTTATAAGTACAATTTTCTATACATGATTTATAATAAACATATACAATTTAATCGTTAAACAAGTCATTTTTCTTACAATTCATTTTACTCGTTAAGCGAAATGCTCGTTGTTCAAGGTGCTCGTTAAGAGAGGTTCCACTGTATTATTTAATTTTCAGTATGATTTTAAATATTTTGTAAATGATCTAATCTTTAGAATGAATCCTATCCCAATAATTATTATTGAAACAGTCCATTGAAATATCAAATAATCTTATATAATCATAATAAATAAATGATCAACTGTTCATGAACTAAAGCACTGTTAACTAAAGGTCTTTCCATCCTAATCCTAATTATTAATTTAAGTTTATTGAAAAGTTTGTACACACTACATACGTTTTAGTTTCATTTTGTGCAAACCCTTAAAGCAAATATTTGAGTATTGGGTGTGTATGAAATACAAATATATAATAATACATGTAAATAAATATTGAATATTGACAGAGTTTGGTTTGCGAAAAGTGCAATAAAGATACAATCTATATGTTTTGTACATTCTTGGATTTTTATTTTATGAGATTTACAGAAAGATGTGTGTATTAAGATTTATTACGTTTATTAATATTTTCTTCATATCGCATTAAGGAAATTGAATTGAGATTGAGAACATTATCACATGCCCGACAACCGAAAGCCGTCTATTGAAATCCGGACGTTCGAAATCCTGTACTAAAGCCCCGACGCTTGAAATCCCGACAATCAAAATCCCGACTTCCATAATCCCGACAATCAAAATCCCGACTACCATAAAAATGTTATTGTAGAAATTTATAATAATAAAAGACACTGTCGGGATTTCTATATAGTCGGAATTTCGAACGTCGGGCTTGCGATTGCCACCGATTTGCTACATTGATTTTGTATGGAAATTTACAGTAATTATTATTAATCAAACATAAAGAAAATTGTATTTATTTGTTTACAAGTTAATACCAATTTAGTTGAACATCAAAACATTAAGTTTGTTCTGCAATTGTTCTTCTTTGAGTTTCTGGTTTCAAATCGAACGGCTCAACTGGATCTCCATTAACATCCACATCGCCATTCGGAGGTGTTTCAATCACGTTGCGTTTCTTTCTGGTTTTACCATCTGCAGTACTACTAACATCTACCGGCGTTTGATCCATTTTTTTATAAATTGAAAGAATGCACGTTTCTGGTACAATTTTATTACTATCCAGCACGTAACAAACAAACGAACTGAGTTAATACGTTCTAGATTGAGGCGCGCATTCGGAAAAGAATCCATAATCCATAAAATATGCATGAACAGAATTGAAGTTTTCCTTATTATTAATTTAAAGAAATGGGATTTCCCAATAAACATTCCTTTTAAACTTGAATGTTGTTCCATAAATATACCATCATGAAATTATTACAACATTGATTAGTATCAAGTATCAGGAGATGAAAACACTTGAACATGCGCCTGATAATGTTAATCCTGTGTTGCTATCAATTTATTGATTTAATACAATAAATGTATAACATCGAGTTTATGATTGATTGCACTGTTGAGAAAAAATAAAATTAATTTGCATTTCCTATGAGATTTGAAACTAAATATTTAATATTGATAGTGGAAATAAGGTAAAAAGAAATAATTGAAATCAAATTAGTTTATTTTGTTGAATGGTAAAATACATCAGGATACAAAAATTACATTATTATTATTTCTGTTGAAGATGTTGTATTATTCGAAGTTAATTGTAGGCTGTTTGTTGATTCTTCTAGTCGTAGCAGTCATCTTTGGACACTTCTATACCGTTGATATCAATCAAGTTGCTCCCTGGTGCACTCGCCACACTCTTCACAGTTTGGACAACTTTTTTGAAGCAGCAGTCTTCGACGACTTCCTCGACTTTAGAATCCGTCGAGTCGGAGGAATTCCTCTCCTGATTACTATCCATATCGTCTATGTCGTTTAAGGATCGACTTAATACTGAGTTCATTTAGAAAAGTACCTTGGCTTTATATATATATAGGTAACTAAAAGTAAATACTACGCTTTCGAATAAATCCATTGCGTGTAAATCCCAAAGATAGTAAACAGATTAGACGTGTTATTTATATAATCGTTTCCTTGTATTTTCTTAAAAATGCCTCGTTTTTAAGAATAATATTTAGTCATGTAATATTGGGATCTTAATCTTATTGATTTAACAAATACTAAATTAATCTAATAAACAGATCAAGTATCAATTTCTATTAATTGATAATTAAAAAAAGTAATAATAATAGAAATTAATTAATTGATTGATTATATAAAAAAAAATGCAATTTATTATATTTTATAAATAAATTGTGTATTTTAGCGCGCAGCTAAATAATTCTTTATTAGTTTATAGATTAGTAAATGGAAAATATGAGAGCCAAGATAGATGATATTTATTTAATCTCTATTAAATGCAGATATATATTGGAGTGGATAGATTATATTAAGGTAGTATTAGAGAAGCGAACAGAGAGATTATCAGTACAAAAAAATGGACGCGAAAACCGAGACCTGCTCGTTGCCATCGTCTGCGAAAAAAGAGGATGCTGTGGACGGACGCACCGAAGTCACAGAGAATATTGAAGAGCGTTGTGTGAAGAAAATTGCTCAGCAAAGCAGATGCGTGATAAGTGTACCAGTAAACAAGGCAGTCGACATCAATGGTCAAGAAGTCGATGAAGATGAATGCTACGAGTAAAGAGGAATGTCTGGATTTAACACCGCAATTACATTTAGTCTGGAACTCGTAAAAAAATTAAGTATCCAAACATTGATAACTGTTATTGGAAATCAATTATTATAATTGTTTACAATATGTCGCAATTTACGATTGTTAAATAATAAAAAAAAAATGTATCATAATTACGAACAATTTCATTTAATTCCTGTACCTTGCTCTGAATTGGCGCCAATTCCAAGATAATGTAATATAAAAACGTTTATATCTGGAATCTATCGTAATCTCCATCAATTCTTTGTGCAAATCATGGATTTTTTATTCTGTGCGTCATCCATTACCGGTAAATTTTCACAAGAAATACCGGTAATTTCTGTATTTTTTTTTATTCAGAAATTGAAGCACCTTTAAGTGTACCAAGCTTGTACATTACTTAATGCTACTGTTACCCATACATTCGTTAATGACAAAATACTTGATAGACGCACAAACTTTGCGGACGTTGTCTAATTTGTGCAAATCCTCTTTACTTTTGGTATATACCTCAATTAGATGGTTTATTCCAGTTTCGCCAATTCCAAGATAATATAATATAAAAACGTTTATATCTGGAACCTAACGTAATCTCCATCAATTCTTTGTGCAAATCATGGATTTTTTATTCTGTGCGTCATCCATTACCGGTAAATTTTAACAAGAAATACAGGTAATTTCTGTATTTTTTTTTATTCAGAAATTGAAGCACCTTTCAGTGTACCAAGCTTGTACATTACTTAATGCTACTGTTATCCATACATTCGTTAATGACAAAATACTTGATAGACGCACAAACTTTGCGGACGTTGTCTAATTTGTGCAAATCCTCTTTACTTTTGGTATATACCTCAATTAGATGGTTTATTCCAGTTTCGCCAATTCCAAGATAATATAATATAAAAACGTTTATATCTGGAACCTAACGTAATCTCCATCAATTCTTTGTGCAAATCATGGATTTTGATTATGTGCGTCATCCATTACCGGTAAATTTTAACAAGAAATACAGGTAATTTCTGTATTTTTTTTTGATTCAGAAATTGAAAATGATGTAGCAACTTTAAGTGTACCAAGATTGTACATTACTTAATGCTGCTGTTACCCATACATTTGTTAATGATAAAATTGTTTATTTTGCGCAAACTTGATAGACGCATAAACTTTTCGGACGTTGTCTAATTTGTGCAAATCCTCTATACTTTTGGTATATACCTCAATTAGATGGTTTATTCCAGTTGAATTAATCTGCCATTGCTAAACTTATTGAGTGATTTAGATGCGATTTTACTAACTGCGTGCACATTTTAATTGTAAGAAAAAATTTGAATATTTAAAAAGGTCTTTTGGTGTAATAAACTTACTTCGTATTTGTTATTACCATTATTTATTTTTACGAAATTTGCTTACTTTATTAACAGTGTAAATGTATATTGTTTGTTTGTTATGTATTAATCTTCTATAAAAACTTAGGTAATTAAAAAAAAAACAGTTAATTTACCGGTTTTTACAAGTAAATTTGGATGACATGAAGGGAAAATTGAATAATAATTAAATACGAATTAAATAGATTAGCATTTTAATAAAAAATACTCAGTACGTATAATAATAATAAATTACAAATAAAACAATAGCAATTTTAAAAATGGAAGAAAAAAATTATGCTTCGATAAAACGATTTATATATATATATTATATAATATAGTATTTATAAAAAAAAAATTATGAAAAAAATTTGTTCAAATCACAAAAACCGTAATATTGATATAACATAATTAAATATATATGTACATATATATATGTTTTTTTTTTTTCTCTTTTAAGTAATACTTATTATTTTCAAAAAGAAATGGAAAATTATTCGGGTGGGATCTTGTGCAGACCCCAGCCGTGGAAGCACTTGGTAAAGCGTTTAGATTCCTTGTTCTTCAGCGTCAAGAACAACTTCCTCGGTTTATCCGGTTGTTTCGCCCGCATGTGTTGGATGTATACCTGAGCAGACTTGTACGCCAACTTAATTTCAACCTCGCTGCATTTGGCGCCCAACCAGAGGAACACTTGCTCGCCGTTATCCAAAATCATGATGTCATCATCGGCCAAATCGTCCTGTTAATTAATCAAAATTGATTATTAATTTATTAAGTTTAATAAGGACAAAGTTATTTTTTACCTGACAGAAATCTGAACACTTCTCGGTGACTATAAAGTAACCCTTCTCGTTGGAGCATCGGAAGAGACGCGTGTATTCCATGAAGTTGGCGTCCTGATCGTAAGGTTTCTTTCCGTTCAATCCCACCCAGAAGAAGTTATCCGGTTCTTCACCCTCAGCCAACACCTGCATGCTGACCCAAGGACTGTTGAACATGTCTTCGGCTATCTCTTGTACCAGTCTCGCTTCATCCGGATCCGCCTTGGATCCGATCCATACGTAAATAATACCGGAATCTCCTTGCTCGAAAGGAACGTTCAATATATAACTGAAATAAACAATTTAAATGAGAATCTTCAATAATTGTTTCGAGATAGAAACATACCAGAATGCAGAGTTCAAAGCTGAAGCGTCGGGCCGGATTTGAATCAAACGTGTGTAAAGCGCGCTCCCGTTCGAACGTAGATGATAGAACTCCACTGCGTTAGCATCCTTCTGCTTCCTCTTCCCTTGATGGATGATGAACTTCCTCTTGAAGTGCGCCATAAACTTCATGTTTTCTTGCTGCTGATGCGTCCGAACCACCTCCAATTTATCTTTAAACAACGTCTGAAACTTCTTCTGGAGTGTAAATGTGAACGTCAGCCAGCCCATGTTTCCGGCTTCGCGACCTTGCCAGAAATACACCACGCATTGGAAATCTTCCTCCATGGGTTCTCCTTCCTCGATATCATCAGCAGGTATCCAATAGCGACACAGGAATACGTAACAATCCTTCGAATAGAAATGTCCCAACTCTTCCTCCGGCAATCTAACAAATTTCTTTCCTTCTAAAACGAAAGCTTCCATCGCCTCCAAATCTTCGTTCCAGTCCTCCATCACCTGATGAGCTTCCGTCAAAGGCATCGGTTGTTGTCTTGGTGTAAACAATACAGTCAGATCGGCTTTAGTCTCCTGCTGTCTGGCCCACTTCGTCAAATCCGCTCCAGTCTTCTGCACGGATTCCGCCGTCCTCGTGAAATCAACGGCAATCACCTCGTCCCATCCAGTGAACTTGTATTTAAACACTTGAGACTCGGTGCCTTCGCGCACCCTGGTAACCAACGCATATTCCGGGCGATCAATCATATTGAAGAGCTCTTCGGATAATTTCACGGCCGCAGCTTTTACTAATCGCGTTGATTTTTTTCCAACCCTGAAAAATAAACATAAAATAGTTAAATAAAGAGAAATCAAGTGAATTAAAAATAATTAAAACTTACCAAACAAACAAATCCAGGTAACAATCCAAAATGTAAACGTTCTTGCTGTTCAACAACGTGTGCACTAATTTACCGTGCGGTACCTCAACCTGAGGTAGTTCCAGATATCCCATCCCCAATTGCACTTGGTACAACCTCGGAGCGACGGGTACAAAATCAGGATCGACGTGTTCCTATTATAAATATATTTAATATCTTTTCTTAAAGCTAATTTAAAAATGATTTTTTACCTGAATAGGATCTTTAGGTGGATTACCATCAGGATCTCCAATGGTATACCAGAAATCTTTGCTTTCGCTACCCAACGTTTCTGTCATCACTTCAGCTTTGTTCTTCCTCTCATTCTTATTTATTTTCTCAGCCATCAAACGAGCCTTCGATTTCAGCGTGTTCTTGGCTTTCTTTCCGTACCATATAAATATTTTTAGTCCGGTGTCCAATACGAAGACGTATCGGGGATCCAGAGAGTCAGAAGACACTGAGACCGGTTCCAAATGAATCGAAGCACCAGCAGCGTGCACTCTATATAGTCTTATTTCGTAGGTCTACAACAACATATAAGATACTTTAGTAAAATCCAATAACTTGTAATAAACCATGATTTACCATATCTTCTACGGTATAAAACCCGCTGCACGTCCTGCCTCCTTCAATATAGTTAATTCTACCCTCAAATAACGTAAGGAACTCCTCAGATTCTTCTCCCTGTTCTTCTCTAATCGTACGACACTCAGCCCCCAGGTAATTTCTCAAATTGACTGCGTGAATCGCGGCTGAAGCTTTTTTATCAAGCTAAAATATTATAAATAAATTATTTCCGAGAAAAATATATATATAACAAAATGTATCTTACAGAAGCTTTTCCACCAATCCAAAAGTAAATCTCCCAATGCAAGCAACCCTCGTCTTCGACGGTTTTCAGGATAATGTAACAATCGCCTTCGTAGAATTTTCCATGCGCCACTTCATCCATTTGATTCGGCAAGAAATTCTCCATTTCCCAAATGGTAATGCCAGGAACACGACCTGCGTCTTCCTCGAAGAATTCCGAATAATCTAGTGGAGGCTTTTCCAACGTCTCATCCCACCGCTTCGGCCTAAAACAGTTATTAATAAAATTTGTTTAACAAAATGGACAATTGCAAGAACTTACTTTACAGATTCAGTCTTCAAGTCTCCTTCTGCTTTGTTACTATTCTTGTCTTTTGCCACATCCTTCATGCCTTTAAGTATCTTGGCCTGATCCTGATCTGCCTCCTCGTGGTCGCGTCTACCTCTCCTCAACCTCATCTTCCTAGCAATCGGATCTTTGCATGTATCTAATACAAACATTAATTATAAATTAATTAATTACCACTGAGTAAACTTACTTTGTGAGGTAGGTGGTGGTGGCACCATAGCACCAGCCAATCGCAGCTGATTTTGCAAGGAAAAATCAATGTTATAAAACTCTAAACCAGCACCGCGACTCATCTCCTTGGGCTTTGGTGGCATAACAAGATCTGGGTTATTATGCAGATCCAAAGCGTCCAAATCATTCAGCAAATGTATGGCATCCGGCAACGTTATCAGACGATTCGAGCTTAAATTCAATTTCCTCAATGATCCACATCTGAAATACACAACAATTGGTTATAAGTATATTGCATAATATTCCCATGAATATTCAAATAGGAAGATAATCCTACCTGCACAATCCTTCGGGTATCATTTCAAGCCTGTTGTTGGCAGCAGAGAAGATCTCGAGGCGACCCAATTTCCCAATTCCCGATGGAATACCCTCGAAATCCAGTTGATTATCATTTAAGTACAACCTCCTCAAAGTCGAAATCTTGCACAACGACGCTGGTAAACTGCTCAGCTTATTATGCGATAGATTCAGAGTGTCTAATTTCTGCCAAAGCTCCATGGCTGTAGACAATTCAGTTATTTCATTATCGCTCAAATTCAACCTCTTTAAATTTGATAGTGAATATAATGAATCTGGAACTTTTTGCAACTTATTTTGTGCTAAATCTACATCTGAGAGAAGCACCAAGCTTTCCAGATTTCCTGGGAAAGCCTGCAAACTCCTCTGGGTATTCCTCATATGCAACACCTCCAAATTAACAAGTGAAGGCAATTGCCTGAATTGAAATAACCCAAGTGGATTGTTGTTGAGCACAAGTGTTTGCAAATTAGCCAATCTTCTTGTTTGTGGAGGCAATGATGAAAGGTTGTTGTTGCTGAGATCCAAAAACAGTAAATCCGTTAAATGGATGAACAGAGCATTTGGCACACTCTCAATACTGAAACATAGAATATTTATTACAAGAAATTCAATTAAATTGAAATTGAATACTAACTGGTTGTGACTTAAATTGAGGACTAATAAAGTGCGTGCCCTTTCCAATCCCTCTGGCACTTCTTTCAAATTATTATGGCTTAAATCTAAGGTAGTTAGTTCATCCAAATTGAATAATTCAACAGGTATTCCTGAGGTCTTCACTTTGTTGTGTCTTAAGTTCAATGTTCTAAGGCAGTTCAATTCAGTCAGTTCACCATGAAGCTTCTCCAGATTATTTCTAGTCAGAGACAGGTGCTCCAGTTTAAGCAGGTTGCCCATCTCCTTGGGTATCTCATTTAGATTGGTGCGGTCCAATTTTAGCCATTGCACACCAGTCATAAGGCTGACAGCCTCTGGGAATTTCTCCTCCTGCAAATCTCTTAATGTAATGGAACAATGTTATAACAAACAAATTGATATAATTACGCTGAAATCGTTCCTGGTGAAATCTACGCCCCTGACGAAGGGCAGCACTCCTGTGTACGACATCTTAACGTTTATTTAACAGTAGGGTTATGTAATTTTACTCTCTTAAGTACATGAAATAAATAAATCCACTCTGAGCCACAATTCGAATATAAAAACACTACATTTTCTCCGCACAGATCAGTTATGTATAAATACCAGAAATATTACAACACTTTTGACGGCTGCCCAGACTGCAATCTGTGGTTTACAACGTTGCCAATTCTAACCAAAATTTTTGCAAATTCACAGAGATACTGAAATAAAAAAAAAAAGTTGTTTTTTTTCTATTTTTAATAATTAAATACATTTGTGTTTGTCCTGTGCAGTAACAATTTTAGATATTTGTAGTCGTTATGTATACATGTGGATGATAAGCAATTATTGTACAAGTGTATAGGCAACGATGTATGTTTACCAGTTTCTGACATACCTTAAGGATTATTTATTGTAGACAGTTAAATTTTTTGTATTTTGTCCAATTTTCGTGAAAAGAAGTTAATGTAATTAATTCGTGACCGACATCAAGATATATCAATAGACCTATGTTATTATGGAACTCGACGAAACAGCGCGCAATGAGCCACCAGCACCTGCATTACCTAATCCTGTACAAAAAGCAGAGAGCCATGATTCTGACCAAAGATACTGCTGGGTGTGCTTTGCCACTGATGAAGAGGATGAGAATGCAGCCTGGGTGCAACCCTGCAACTGCCGTGGCACCACCAAATGGGTAAGTGGTTACAGTGGCTCAAGTTTGCTTTAAATATTCGATTACAAGGTTTATCATTGCAGGTGCACCAGGCTTGCTTGCAGAGGTGGGTAGATGAGAAGCAAAAAGGTGGAAACATGGGCAAGGTGTCCTGTCCTCAATGCCAAACCGAATACATCATAGTCTTTCCAAACATGGGAACACTTGTGCTCATTATGGACACAGTTGACAGCTTCATATACAAGGGTTGTCCATTTCTCGCTGCTGGCATTGTTGTTGGGGCCATTTACTGGTGTGCTGTGACTTATGGTATAGAATATCAAATCAGTTAATGGTAATACATAAGTTAATATTTTGCATTAAATATTTAAGGTGCAATAACTGTGATGCAAGTGGTTGGTCAGAAGGAAGGTTTGACAGTGATGGAACAAGCAGACCCATTGGTTCTCTTGATTGGTCTACCTGCAATACCAATTGCACTGATTGTTGGCAAGATGGTCAGATGGGAAGACACTGTTCTGTACCTCATTAGGAAATACTTATCCAGAGTGCCAATTGTTAAACATTTACTACCATTTAGGTGAATATTTATTGTTGACTTGTCTTTTTCATTCTTATTGTGTCCTGATGGTAGGGTGGATGTGGGACCAAGTCTCAGCAATACCAATGAAGAGATCCCACCGCTATCAGACCCAATTTCCGCAACGCGTGTGCTCTGCGGGGCCCTACTCATGCCGAGCATATCAAATCTCATTGGAAAATTCCTTTTTGATTCGGTCAAATCAAATTTTCATAAAACTATGCTTGGGGGTGTAACATTTATACTGGTCAAAGGAGCTTTAAAGATTTACCACAAACAGCAGCAGTACATCCGCCAATGTCAGAGGAAAATATTAGATTACACAGAAGCAAATATTACCATGTACTTGAGGCGGGAAAGGCCTTGATTAGTATAGTGGAGTAAAAAAGAAAAAAAAACAGAAAACTATTACATGTTAGAAATGCAAAATGGGATGAGTTGTGTGATGTTATTATATTTTTTTTTGACTATTTTATATGGAGGTAATAATTTAAAATAAGTATGTAAATAATACAGTTACAATGTGGATTTTGTTGAATTTTTATTTAGCTCGATGAAATATTATACATGTTTTTATTTTTTTTCTTTCTCTTTCTCTCTCTATATATCACTGTAGTTATTGCATTGTCCATATTCTATTGATTGATTTTAATAAATTACCAATTATTTTTAATATACAAATATAAAAAATATCATTTCTTTTTATAAAGAAATTCGTCTAGTTGCAAATTGCACTCACATTTTTTGTCTCAATATAATTAATTTTTGTTAAAAATAATAATAATAATATCCTATTCAATAATTCAAATGTTGTTGTCCTCTCTGAAGAAGATGCTATCTAAAATTCGAGGTCCTTCATATGGATAACAATCTGTGGTGAACCAGGAAGGACATTTAATTTTTTTAAGCAAGATGCTGTCTTCTGCCAAGAATTTCACAGGTGCAAAGTACGTGCATTTACGAGTTCCGCCATTCGGGATTTGAGTATCATACGGTGGTGCAAGAATGTCCAAAAATGCTGCTGGTCCATTAACACTCTCAATCTCATGTAAATTCTCTCTCAGCGGTCCCAGAATGCAACTAGAATCTCTTCAAGGGAAAATTTCACTTTACTATGACCTGACATTGATATTGCTTACAACAACTTACGCATTACTGACAATAAGAGGATTATGTATATGTGCCACAACTGATTTCCCATTCTCTTCTGTTACTGTGTAACTGTTGATTTTAACTGTGCCCCCAATGACTTTGATTAAACCATGCATGCAGGGATGATTGTGCAAGGGCAACTTCATATTTGGACTGATCACAAACACACCAATTGTTAGAATATCATCCTCATATATATCTACATATGTTATAGGAGCTTTGCCCGTTTTTCTCCAGATATCTGGCTTCAGCAAGACATGGTCTTTGAAGCCTATATCTGATGGTGAGGTTCTATCCAGCAAGTACTTAAGGGCCTCCACATTCTGAGGTATCACTTCTTTAACACTACCAAACGTTGTCACAGCCTGCCTCAAGAGATTGTTAATATGACTAGACATCATCCTTTTACACACAATTAAAAAAAACAAAATATTATTCTAACACTTATGACATGACCTATGACTATTAAATGAAAGTTTTGCACATTTTTGCCAGTAGAATGCGCTCATGCATATTGCATTCTAATTATTGAATTAAGTTGTATGCAACTATATTATCGATTTTCACATGTACATCTAGTGCATTTAAACCCTTTCATCTACTTAACCTTGTTTTAAACTTAACAAATACCGATTTTTTAATGATTATTCATTTGAAAAGCGCTCTCTATATACAGTTGTTCGAAAGTGGTCTATATTTTCAAAACAATTGAAAAGCAACAGGTGCAACATGAAGACGTGAATGACCTAAATTCAAAACATGTACAATTTCAAAGTGCGATACTGTTTTATACTCGGTTTAATTCTAGGTATTTCAATTAAGTTAGTACTTCATCAACAAAAGTCTGATATTATCATTAAGCAGAATCCCTACGAGCAATGGTTTTGGAACACAACTTACAGGTTAAATAAAACAATTGACGAAATTCGCTATGGACTCAATCATAGTAGACTTGAGTCAGAATTTCTGTTCAATTCAATTACCATTCTGTGTGTGATACTTGTCTCCAAGGTGAGCAACTATGAAGCTGCTAAGGCAACTTGGGCCAAAGGCTGCAATAAGATTGCGATAGTTAGTTTGGAGAAGAAACCATTTGTATCTGCATACAAGGGTAGGGAATCTTCGAAATGGGTGCGACTTTGTCAGGAACTGCCTCAGTTAGACAATGCATTTCAATGGACCTTATTTGTCTATGATTCTAGTTTTGTAGTGATGGAGAATTTGAGGTATATGTTAGCTGGAAAGGATCATAGAGAAATGCACTACTTGGGTCATCCTGTTACATATTGGAATGTTCAATATAACATGGGAAAGGCTGGGTATGTTTTGAGCCAAGGAAGTTTGCAGAAAGTTCAGGATAAAGTGAAGGATATTAACTGTTCCAAGGAGACATCTTTCTTGAATCAAGAAGATCTTTATTTAGGTATAATTATTAACATTTCAACAAACCTGTATTAATTAAAGTTGTTTCAATTAGGCAAATACATGGCTTCTCTGAACATCAAACCTGAAGATACAAGGGATTCCAAAGGTCTTAGCAGATTTTATGCTTACAATTGGTACCAAGAGTTACTACCAGGAATGAATTACTACAAAACAAGTGTCCATTCCCATAAATGTTGCAGTGAAAAGGCTATTTCATTCCAAGTAAGGAACTTCAATTTCATAGGAATAAAATTATAGCTTTCACTTTTAGTCTATTGAAGCTGACAAAATGTACACATATTATTATTTGTTGTACAAATTGCAACTATTTAAAAGTGGCTCCTTGGGATCTAAACCACCGACACCTATAGACAAAAATTCAGTAAATACTATGATTTTAGTTTCACAACTCTTTTTATTAATTTATTGGTTTTATTTAAGGTTTGGAAATCGTTTTTGAAAGAACGCGGGATTGAGAATGATCAAATTTCTTCTGACGAATATTACAGAGCCTGGGAGGATTTAATACATGATCCAGATAGTTTTGGACAGCAATTCAAACCTGATCATTAAAATGCTAACATGGAAAGAACTCTCATTTCTTCAGAATTAATTGTTTAAGAAGTAAATTCCGTCCATATGAAAGTTTATACGTTGCGACAAAGAAAGTTCTACTTTGCGCGCAAGTTTCACGTAACAAAACTTTATAGATTTTAAGAAATTTTTTTATGATCTCTTTCACAATTTTCGTTATATCGTGAATATTGATATATTTTTTTATTAAAGTTTTATACCAGTTTAAATGTGGTTAATATTTTGACAATATTTCAAAATCCTGGTTCCAATATCTGAAATGTGTAGAAAGTTGTGGGAAGATTTCTCAACAAAATTCAGTTTAAAACATTGGTAATTTATTGGCATCTGCATGTAGCATAATAAATAATAAAATTAAAATATGTATATACAATAGTAAAAATTAAAATTGAAACAGTCATGAAGTATAGTACATGACTTAAGTCATGGTAAATTTGGTATCCTATGTCTTCAACAAATACTTGCAAAAGCACAACACAACATTAGTCATCATCGTCATCATCATCTGATGGCACAAAGAGATCATTTTCCTCCAGGAAGCTTGCAATGTATTTGCTGATTGTAGCCCCAATAAGTAATCCAGGCACCACAGTGCATATGACCCCAATCATACCAAAGGGAGTCCTTGGAGGCTCTGGCATGAAGGCCCCAGACCTTTTATGGGTTTTGAACCTCACTGGAGCTGCGAGAGCCATCGAACTTCGGTTCAGATCGAACAGTTTCACGGCACATCGCCTCAGAGAACTCATTCTGCTCACTCACTTTAATTTCTTGTTTGATTTCTCTGACTAACCTAAAACAACTATATTTCTAGATCTCTGACATCTTATACGCCCCAAATGTTATGCAACTTGAAGTTCGTTATGATAATAACTTGAAGTTAGACCATCATCAGTACACGTATGAGTTGAGTAAAGCTTATACAAACTTCTCATCGTATTTTGAATGTACTTTACTGTTACCAGAGTCTTCCATATATTATAATCGCAAGATCTTAAGATTATAGTTTTCTTATTGAAAATACTATTTCAATTGGATGAGCTAATTTGCTAGGTAAAAGAAAAAACACGTTTTCGAACAGGCTTAAGTTTTTATAAAGAGTATAAGGCAATGTACATGATATGAGAGTTAGCTTATACAAATTGTAATCGTTAATGTTTATACCGTATGTATGAGGGCAACGCAAGTTGCTTATAACAATGATTTTATTTTTCTGCTCTTTATTATTATATTTTTTTTTAGTCGTAACAAAAACATCTCGAATGCAACACTACAATTACAAGTACATCCCGTTCACCAAATAGTCGGCGTCGTGAGCGTAGGACTTGCCCTTTCTGCTGTATCGACGGGCTCTCATGGCTTTCGTGCGACAGGCTATCAAGATGCCTAAGCAAATCATCACTATGAATCCTGCAACATAGATCTGCTAGTAAACGTGATGACAATTGCATTATGAATACCTATGATCAAGGATAGGAGAGCTCCGCCTGGAATCGGTACTATGCCATCCTCGACCTCGTCAGCTGTAGTCTTATACTCGGCAACTACAGCGTAATGACTGTGACTTGAACTATGGCTTTGATGGCTTTCCGTTTTTTTCTTATCAGTTTCGAAATGCTCCTTGGAGTGCTTCAATTCGTGAGCCATCTTATCCTGTTCATGTTTCAACGTTTCTACAACAAATCATTATTATTACTTCATTGCAAATTAATTTATATAAAACCTTGGGTCCATTTGGGTTCTTCCACAGAAGGTCTCTGCTCGTCTATGTAGACAGGCTGTATATTGCTATCTTTTCTATAAACTACATGTATATAATTAGTATTATCTGGGTTATTGCAGGTACTGATGCAAACCTGGTGGTTGAGGTTTTTCCCAATTTGGTGGAAGAATGGGTGGTTGTCGATATACTTCGGATCCGTAATAACTGGGAATCTTGCCGTAATCCCTTGTATCGACGTACTGCAGTTGGCTAAAGAATTCAAGAGAAGCATCAGTAAACTGCTGTATTTGCAGCGAGTAAGTATTTTATAACTAATTATTTTTGCTGTTCTTTGTGAGGTAATTAATCAATATCTAAAAGGTGCTTTAGGTGCTCTACTATGCGGCTACTCTATGAGAAGAGATCTCTGCCGTCTCACCCAGCATTGTTCCCGTATCCAAGAGCTCGATGCAGCGTTTGCATAGCTCCCTTATATTTATTATACCTGGCTTCCCCGACGTCCGAAACTTGTAAGCCCACCTCCTTATGGTTAAATATGTGACTGTTCTTATCTGTAACGAAACACTACATTAATGTATTTTTTTACAGAGTTATTACATCTTAATACCAGCATAGACAGGTGGCGGAAGTTCGCGAGCTCCCCAATTCGGCGGCTGCTGCTGCTGCTGCGGAGGCATGTACTGCTGGTACTGAGGGATCTGATGAGCGTTGTAGTTTCGTGAATGCAAAGGATTCAACAAAGGGTCTGGTTTCAGGAAGTCCTGCGGATGCTGCATCATCTGCGCTTTGTACACTTCCTCCTGCTGCACCGACTGGTAAGGTACTATCCTAGATTTGTCGTCCTGCAAGTAGAGAGTTGTAGTTTTCTTACTAGAACTAGTTTTATAATGTTTACTGGCGCATTCGATTTCGTTTCAATCGGTGTTTTCTTGATGCTAATAACTGGCGTTAAAGTCGTTGATTCTGGACACCTCAACTCCGGCGCTTCATCGCTTCCATCCGCACATTGCGGTATTCCGTCGCAAGCATTGTAAATAGCTATACACTCCCCGGTCGATCTACATTCGAATTGGTAATTACTGCATTTACGTTCTAAAAAAAAACATCAAATCACTTATCAGCAATGATCGTATTTCTAATCTATATACTTGTTTCCGGGGTTTTGGTCTTCAAGATTGCTTTGCGCGTCGTCGTAGTCGTGACCGTCGTTGTTTCCAGTTTCACTTCTGGCTTCCTGCAAACGACTAAATGTAATCGATCATACTTTAAAAGCAAAACAAAGTGTACTTGAACGTGAAAGACCTTAACTTTGTTAAATCCTCTTCGTGCTTCGTGAGCCTGATCTGACTTTCCAGATCGGGCAAATGCCTGTTCACCGCCAAAACGGCGCTCGTGTAGTTCACGTGGTGGGCAAACTTGCACTTGAAATCTTCCGGTGGACCGCATTGGAACAAATAACAACTGCCGGCCTTCTGCAAATTGATTACGTAACAGGATTACAATTATAAACATTGCGCATAGGAACCTAAAAACCTTCTCTTCGTAAACAAAAACATCACAGTTCTCCGTCTCACAGCATAGCCTCAGACATTCCTCCCTGGAGTCCAGGTCTATCTCGTTCAGATATTTTGCTCCCATCGCCCTCGAATCCTGCGTCCTGATAATTTTGTCCTTGTGTATATCGAAGTTCTCGATGCACGTTTGCACGTCAACATCGCTTATTTTCGAGATGACGCCCGTCTCGCTCGTGAATCCTTTAATAAAGAACACGTTTACTAATATCAGAATCTCTAAAAACACGTTCGAAGCCATTTCTATTTCTTAATAATTTCGTGCGCGAACTTTTCCGCTACTTTTTCGTTTCACCCAAAGGACAGACACGGACTTGCTAGAGACATAGTGGAAATGCGATCAATAATTGTACGCATTCGCAGATTGCAGCAAATTACACATTTACTTAAACCTTCCGTAAAGGATCGATGAAAATATATCAAAAATTATTATATAATAAATATTTATAATAAACCAATCATAATAATAGTAAAAAAATATAATAAATTCAATCGATTGAAGCAGATATTATTACGTATTGTTATAAATAAACGGTGAATGAAATCGATTGATTTAATAGCGAGTCCTGAATTCGCCCTTGTCTCTTTATAAACATATTATTGTTCGTATTAGAAAGGCGAAAACTGAATCGGTATGACATCAACTCGATGGCGCCGTACGCTTTGTATCATATGCATCGCAATATTGATCAAAGCGTTTCTTAATCAACTCGAGGATTCAAAGAAAGAAACGCTTTTGGCAATAATTAATTGTAGAAATTGTTCAGGCGAGTGGCAATTCAATATAATCATAATTTCATATATGTTTAGATTATTCATTTCAAATAGTTCCAGTATTGATACTTTATTGATAACTTATTTAAAAGTTCGATATTTTCATCAAGAATTGAAAAATACTTTAAATATTTCAAAAATTCATATGAATTTATTGATTACATTTAGAGAAGATTCTATACATTTTCAATATCTTCTAAAATTTAATAACATTTTTTTTAAATTATCCGTAACTTGAAATGAAACGAACAATAATCGAAATTGGTATAAACACACTTTGTACAGTCTTTATAAATAAATTGTAGTCGTGTGCCAAATAATGTCTGGTATTTCCAATGAACTTCTAAAGGCGCAATTTAAATACAACAGTCAATTAAGTGTGCGCGAAATATCAATCAAGTCGTGAAAATTCACTTCAATCAAGGTGAAGAACACACGGATGATTGCATAACGAAGATTCGTCGAATTCGAGATTAATAAAACTTATTGGTCGGACGCGAACTTTAACCTCGGCGGAAAGGAAAGTATAATAAATAATTAAATTACATTTGCAGCTGAGAAAACGTGTTTCGTCATAGTATTATACAATAATGAGAACATCGAATATTTAGCAAGAAATTAATTTTTATAATTACAAAAATAAGTTGATAGGAAAATCAAATATAAATATTATAATTAAATGTAGGTTTTTGTTAATGAATCAATTATATAAGCTGGAATGCATTATAAAGAGACAAATATGAGAGAAACTACGCTTGTTATGTTTCCGTGGAACGGATGAATGGCAACGTTAACAGTTGTTCAGCAGACGGCACGAAGAAGTTACAAAGTCGTTACTAAATCTCGTAAGCGTGCGGAGGAACATTTTCGGTCTTAGCATTCCGTCAGAGCGGCGTGGAAAAAGAACTCGGAGCGTGTATTTCCGGCCACATAGAAATAGATTGTATTGAGTAGGCTTTTAGCCTTCCTTCCTTCTTCTTCTTGTTTTATTTTTCTCTTTCCTCTTCATTACTCCCATTCCGTTTCGGGAATTTTAGTTAAGTATAGTTAAGTACGGCTCTGAAAATTCCTTCTCGGAAGAAATGTACGCGTTTCAGGGTTAGAATAGAATAGAAGTCCGGCAGTTTCTTTTAAATAGAAAATAGGAAGATTCACCCTAATTGCACGACGGTTGTAATAATGATTTTATTTTGCCGCTCCAATTATGGCAGGCTTCATTAAATGTTTCTGCCCAACTTGGTTCCGGTAAGATTCGCTAACGAGATTCATTACCGGTCAATTTTCCGAGTGACAATCAAGTAATTAGCACGGAAAAAAAAATTAATCCTACACTTCGTCGGATCTAAGAAATTTAAATCAATTCCAATATAAAGACTTCATAGATAATCTAAATCGCTCTGTAAAATTAATAAAAATTTAAAAAATCAGTCAATTTAGAGTACTTAAATACCGGTTTAAAATCTGTTAATTGGTCGTGTTAGCAATTAATTAAACCTGTTGTTAACGTTCTACACCTATTGAATTCCAATTAAATGCTTTGTGTGCAAATCGTTTGTCCAAAGACTAATAAGGATTGAAGTAATCGAAAACAAAACGTGGTTTCTTTGATCTTCAATTTTCTTTTAAAAAAAAATTATATATCGATCGATAATTTCAGCCTACGTCTTTTCATCTTTCGCTTATCATTCTAGACACATGATTCTCCTTGTACGTGTTTCCTTTACGTTCCACCTTTAATTACTTCTATGTTTCCGTCTCGTTTTTCAGCCGCCTCCGTCGACTACAAAGACCGAAATATCGTTCCATTGTTCATTCCTGAAAACTGACGTGGATGAGCTTCACTTTCTGTAACAAAAATATTCTTTGTTAAATTGGAAGCAAGATCAGTTAGGGCAGGTCTTAGATTACTTTGTTAATTAGTTACATAAAAGTTGTATTTTTTTTTAATATTTATATAATATAATTTTATGAAATTTGGTATTAAAATGATCTCATGCAAATTTGAAAATCGTGCTATAGAATTAAACAATTAATTTAATATTATGTTTTTTTTTAGATGGATTTCGGAACGAAATTGCGTTGTGCTTCAAGGACAAACATCGTTTACACTGGTGGACCATGACCGAATTGAACTTTAGCTAAAGAACGGCGACACTCCTACATTTATGTCTCATAGTCGAACGCATTATTAAACTATGTACGGATTGAATTGGTGCCTGACGATAAGAGAGAACCAGATGATTTCATAATCGGCGGTTTTTGCGTAACGAGAGGCGAGCTTTTATTGTTCGCGCGAAGAACAATGATCAGACGTAACCAGGTGGATTTCCAACTGGCGAAGAAGAAGAGGCGACATTGTTGGGAACAATTGAATTGTGCAAATAAAGTGGAGAATCCAACACGCTTTCTCCAGATATTGTAAAAACAAAATTGGAATAAAAGGAAAACAGACGGGTCGACATCAACAAGGTACGTTGACGCGGGAAGATCCCAAAAACAATTTCCACGGTTACGACGGCGGCGGTGGCGGCAGAGGTGGAGGCGGCGTCGGAGGTGTGCGGACTGTGTATGTGTGTGTGCGTGTGTGTATGAGAGAGTGAATCGAAATGTATTCGGGCTAATGCCGAGACTTCACGAGTTTGGTTATTGTCGGGTCGAAGGCATTCATACGAGGATCCTCCGGGAATCGGATCGGCTTCCAGTTGGTTCTACACTCTCATCCAGCGAGGTGATTGTTCCGCGCTAGCTCCATAGAGACTACAATAACAGAAGGGTGAGATAGAAGGAGAAGGGAAGAGATAGAAAGGAAAAGGGTTTTTCGCGAAAATCGGGCGGTGTCGGTTTTCGAAAGAATCTGATCATCTAAAGTGCGCGAAGGGTGTCCCGTCCTCAGCAAACAGCACAAAGTCTTGCGTGTGCTTCGAGTAACATCAGATTCGAATAGGAAGGGTAAGCAAGTGCAGCAGTACACAACGCCACGCATAAACAACGCCGCCTTCCCAATTCTATTTACATACAAAATTAAAAATAAACTACGGCCGCACTTCCACAACCATCAAGAGGTGCATCTCCTGCAATAATTAAACAAAAAAAATAACTCATCAATCAACTAAATTGGATGGAATCTTCACTTAAACGACAAATTGTAGTAGTATTATCGAGCCACCTTATCGCCGCTATTTATCTCTCAAATAATAAATAGATAACATCTTGATTTTAAATTTCATGCATTATATAAAAATATTGTTTTATTTGATGCAACAGCAAGTTCGATGCATTCCACAATGCGCTCTCGTCCCTTTGCATATTATGTTTTCTTGCATCCAATCAATAAACACAGCCGCGTTCGCGAAATGAATCGGAATTAAAAAGCGAGACCGACGCTTCGATAAAATGCTCTGCTCCTCCATTTACTATTGTTATGTGTGCATTTCCTCTTTTTATTTGCTCTTTCCCTTTAAGGTAGAAGCAGCAGTTCACATGGAGTGCGGCATTACGGGCGGATACACGAACGGCACTGCGGCGTCGGCCGGAATCCTGGCAGATGTCAGAGGCGAGAGGTCGCCGGCCAAGGCAGGTCTGCACGTCAACTTCAAGGAGAAGGGCGAAGTGAAGGAGCGCAGGGAGAAGTTCTTAACCGCCAAGTACGGAAACCACCAGATGAGCCTCATCAGGAAGCGTCTGGCCGTCGAGATGTGGCTGTACGAGGAGCTGAAGAAGCTCTACGAGACGTCCACGACGACGGTAAATTCACTTTCTATGATCTAGGAACTAGACAGCATTCGCGTGGGTGTGACACCTTCCTCTCGATACGTTCGACGCGTCTTTCACAATTCATCAAAACTTCTTCCAGGGTTTCCCAAAAGTTAATAGATGTACCGTGAAAACATGGAATGAAATAATGAATGTTTTTTCTCATTTTTTTTATAATTGTATTGATTTTATTACCACAATTGAAAGGTATTCGGTGAAAATTTCAGGATTTCCGTTGCAGTAAAAGTTTGGGAAACCCTGACTTGTTCTAGTCAAATTAATTAAATTACTACTTGGGATTTACTTACTTTTGAACATGAAGAAGTACTAATTCTGTATCTCCAATATAAAAAGAGAGATGAATGATTTCAATCACTAATTCCTCGCAAATTCTTCTAAATCGTTTAACAAAGTGAAATTCTTCGCAACACCCACAAACGTCACTGTTTGATCGATGCGTTTTTCTTTTAATTGCTTTCCAACGCTACCTTTAATTATTTTCTTTACATTTTCCAACCAGCAACCAAATATACCTCAAACCAACAAAACGCAATAATCAGAACAAACCATTATCTCGAAAAATAATTTTACACGCGTCTCTAAGCTAAATGGAAACGCAATTATACACAACACCCGGTTTTGCCATCAACTAAATCCGCCCACTCCAATCGCTCTACACACGATTGTGTATTTCAATGCTTCCGTTCGAATTTGTACCAAAAAAAATATTACATCAACTATTCGTACAAAATGAAATTCATACTCAAGCGAAGGGCTAACGACCTTTCTGCCGTGACTAAATACACAAAAAAGTTAATTTTTATGACTTAATTAATTACCAACTCGAAATGGCCTTATATTTTTTTTTACAAAAATAAAACGCAGACTTTAATTAATAATTAATATGTTATGCTCATATAAATATGTAACAACAACAACAACAACGAAAAAATGTATATAAATTGCTAATAGTCTTTCCGGTTTATGCAGCGCGGTATTATAAATTGACTTTATTTCCATGGCAACTCCATAACAAAATGTTACTAAAAAAACAAAAGCAAAGTTAGTTATGTCAGTCATTTGTTAATTTATAAATTAATAGAATAGTAGTATTATTTATAAATGATTGATGGCATAAACTAATGGATGCATTTGTCACTATGCAAATCGATCAACATCAATGAAATACGTGCAAAATAATATAAATATTATTCATCTACCCATGATTTCTGAAGATCTTTGCTTATTTTGCGAGTGCAAAGTTTATAAACAAATCAATCATAATATTATTCAACGCACGATGTTTTGTAAATATTTGGCGACATTTTGTTGTCTTTTAACCAAACGAATTGTTTACCATTACGTGACATTATTATATCACTTATATTTAATATCTTTATAACGTCAACATTATTTTGCACTTTTGATTGAAACGAAATTGAATTAATTGCGCGAAACTCGTTTCGCACGCTTGAACAGTCAATGCTAACGTTCTTCGGCGATTATATAATGTGTTATCTCGTTAAAATCGTGTTAAAAAGAAACATATTTCCTGGGAATTTGCAACAAAAAAAAAAGGAAACGAAGAAATAATTGAAGCAGTGATTTCATCAACGTGGAAAGATTAGTAGCCCGTGGTAGGTGGCAAGAAGGTCAGGGAACTGTGACAGGAACAGAACGAATTATTCAAATTATGAACACTCGAAAGGAGATCGACACGTCCGCTTTTTGATAATGATCAGCAGCGGAGAGGCAAATTAAACAAGAACAAAAAAAAATTAGAGACAAAGAGGAAGATTTTTCGCGGAGATTGTCCGCTTCAGAAGCGTTTACTAAGCGCAATTAATGTCATTTCCTTAATATTAAAAATGATAAATTATTTCAAAGTTATAGTTATAAAATATTGATAAATGAAATAAGCTTTCCGGATTTTGATGCGCGCCGCAAGTTTGTACAACAAACATAACACGAACTAATATTTACTTTTGGTGTAAGTGCACTTTTTTTTTGCTGCTCGAACTAAAGCGAAGAATACAACGTCGTCTGTGTTTGTGTAATAGCGAAGGTCCGTATCAACGCAATGCAAATAACATTACATCCTGCAGTTGGTGCAACAGAATAAACTCATTTAGATAAATAACAGTAGCGAACACTAAACGGCGTATTGTTTAGAAGATTTATCTCTTTCTGGAAATAAACAACGAACAAAGATTATCCCAGCATTATCGTATTTGTTTCTCGTAAACAACGGATTCTATTTTTCTTTCCGTTTTGATTACAGTTTTAAATTTAACATTTGTTGATTGCAGTTATTTGAAGTAACCAAAAGATAATAACATATTTTAATATGTAACGTTGAGCAGTTTAAATACTTAAAACACTTAAAGTTGATTGATTGAAATGCTTTAAACCAAACATTTTTTGATTATTCTGACTTTGGAAAAGAACTTTATCGTACCGGAATTGGTGTAATATTATTAACTATTGTTTTATCCATTTAGTACAGTTGTATTTATCTTTGAGACAAACTTAAAAATCTTAAGAATTAATGAATTATGACGAAAAGAAGTTAAAAATAGTTGATTTGCTACAATTAATTACTATTAATTAAATCTATATGTAAAAAAAAAAACAAGAAAATATAGAATTTTGCAGCTAGAGACAAATTTGGAGATTTAATTTTTTTTTGGACATATTTAAATATGTAACGTTGGACAGTTTCAATACTTAAAACACTTAAAGTTGATTGATTGAAATATTTTAAACGAAACATTTTTTGATTATTCTGACTTTGGAAAAGAACTTTATCGTATCGGAATTGGTTTAATATTATTAACTATTGTTTTATCCATTTAGTACAGTTGTATTTATCTTTGAGACAAACTTAAAAATTTAAAGAATTAATGAATTATGAAGAAAATAAGTTAAAAATAGGTGATTTGCAATAATTAATTACTATTAATTAAATCTATATGTAAGAAAAAACAGGAAAATATAGAAGATTTCAAATGTTTGTTTTGTACATATTTTAATATGTAACGTTGAGCAGTTTAAATACTTAAAACACTTAAAGTTGATTGATTGAAATGCTTTAAACGAAACATTTTTTGATTATTCTGACTTTGGAAAAGAACTTTATTGTACCGGAATTGGTGTAATATTAATAACAATTGTTTTATCCATTTAGTACACTTGTATTTATCTTTGAGACAAACTTAGAAATCTAAAGAATTAATGAATTATGAAGAAAATAAGTTAAAAATAGGTGATTTGCAATAATTAATTACTATTAATTAAATCTATATGTAAGAAAAAACAGGAAAATATAGAAGATTTCAAATGTTTGTTTTGGATATATTTAAATATGTAACGTTGGACAGTTTCAATACTTAACAACACTTAAAGTTGATTGATTGAAATGGATCAATTTCAATAATCGTATCATTCTTTTAAGTCATGTAAACTTCCGCATTAAGCCATGCGTCGCTGTGCAGACTGAAGCTCTTCAGCCCGTGAATCATCTGTAAAATATTCAAGAGACCAGTGGCCGTCCTCCGCATCACATATTGATGAGCGAGAATGGAGATGGAGCACGAGCCGCGCACAAACTTTACAAGCAACGTCTGCTTGCCTTCTAATCCCGTCTAATGTAAATTGATTGGGTCGGATCCTTCAATTAGGGGATACGAAGAAGAAGAAGAAAAAACTACGAACTAGTAGTACAACTACTTAATAGAGCTGCCTGCGCCACTTATCAAGTGTGTAATTGTTTAATGCGTCGAGCAACAATGGGAGGAATCTTGCTGCACGCTCCGACGGAGATGATCGGTTCATTTCATTTGCGGAGGATTAAGTTATATAAAAAAAAATGGTTTAATCAGTGTCAAACTAATAATGGTAATAATGACAGACGTGTGGATTAACGAACACCTGTCCGGATTTCACTGTTTGCGTTCGATTTTGATTACATCAAACAATGTGATTGCATATGCAAAACCAATATCGTTTTTGTTCAAATGAAAACCGTTAATTCAACAACTTTGAGTTAATCTTTCTGTTTATTTAGTTCAATTATAAATACTTTTTTTGTGTTCTGCAAATAATTTAAAAGCAAACATGCGTTTACTGTCCATTAAAAAATAGTGGTGGAAAAATGTAGCCTTCATTGGTTTCGTTTATATTTAAATACACATAATGTATATTTGTCATTACTGTTGTTATAAATGTTATACATTTTACAGCTTATCAAAGTAGTTATGATCATTAATGTTTATTTATTCATTATTGTTTATCCAGTCTAAATATAATCATGATTAAACATGATATAGTTCACTATTTGTTACATGTTTATTATTGTAGTGTTTAATTGAAACATATAAGTAAAAATTTTTTAAAGTACGTTTATCGTTAATTAAAAATCGACAAAGAATATTTTTAGTAATTTATTAGTTTCAGTCAATATTACAAATTTGTTACCTATTGATGACAATTTATACTAGTGTGTAATGGAAACATAGCTTATTTTGTATTTTACGAACAAAAGGTTTCTAAAATACGTTTATTGATAATATTATTAGGTACATTATTAGTTTATTCTGTTTTACAAATTTGCTACGTATTGAAGATAATTTATACTAGTTTATAAAAGAAACATAGCTTATTGTATAGCTTATAAACAGGTTTCCAAGTTCGTTTATTGTTAATTAAAAAATCGATGTTGGAGAAATGACAAAGAAGATTTTTAGTTTATTATTAGTTTCATTCAGTATTACAAATTTGTTAGGTATTAATGACAATTTATACTAGTGTATAGCTTATTTTGTAGCTTATAAAGAGGTTTTTAAGTTCGTTTATTGTTAATTAAAAAATCGATGTTGGAAAAATGACAAAGATGATTTTTAGTATATTATTAGTTTCAATCAATATTACAAATTTCTTACATATTTATGATAATGTATACTAGTGTGTAATGAAAACATAGCTTATTTTCTATTTTTTGATCAAAATGTTTCCAAAGTACGTTTATTGTTAATTAAACATCGATGTTGGAAAAATGATAAAGAAGATTTTTAGTATATTATTAGTTTATTCTGTTTTACAAATTTGTTACGTATTGAAGATAATTTATACTAGTTAATAAAAGAAACATAGCTTATTTTATAGCTTATAAATAGGTTTCCAAGTTCGTTTATTGTTAATTAAAAAATCGATGTTGGAAAAATGACAAAGAAGATTTTTAGTATATTATTAGTTTCAATCAATATTACAAATTTCTTACCTATTGATGACAATGTATACTAGTGTATAATGAAAACGTAGCTTATTTTGTACTTTATGAACAAAAGGTTTCCAAAGTACGTTTATTGTTAATTAACAAAATCGATGTTTAAAAAATGACAAAGAAAAACTTTAGTTTAATGATAATTTGTAGTGTATAATGGAAACAAAGCTTATGAACTAAATAATTTCCAATGTACGTTTACTGTTTATGAAATATTAATTATAATAGTATTTCATCCAGTTTCACAGGCAGCTAATATATATTTGTAGTCATTTATTATTAAACATTTAACAATTTATCAAATAGAGACAAACTTACCAAAGTAGGAAAAGACTATAATCGTTAATCTTTCTATTCATTATTAATGGTGTAGTGTAGTAATAAACACACAATAGTTGTTGAGTATTTATTGATAATACTTTAATGGAAACATATATTATTTTATAGCTAAGTTATAAACAAAACTAATCTCTTTATTAATCTTAATTCTAAATATTAAATCAATTCGTATAAACGATTTGAGTTTCTCGTTCATAAAATATTTGTAGTTGAAGTTGTTTCTTTTGTGACTAATTTAACAACAAATGAAGAACTGTTGTTTTCCGTAGGTACGTATCAATGTTGAAACGTTCTTCGGAAATAGTTTACATAGTTTGTTGAGTCATCGGTTCTCCGGAGCGAGAGACGTGAATCAGACGACCTGCGGATTTCGAAACAAACAGCGAAGAATTTTCCGTGACGCGCTTTTTGAGGAAAGAGAAGTTTTTGTTGAAACAAAAGAGCCGTGCAGGAGATGACCGAAGGCTGAAGGTCACGGTAATGGTTATGGCTTATTGCTCATACATCACGTTTGTTACTTGTTGTAATTATGCGAGTGCGTGGACTCCGGTGTTCATAAACCATGCTACCTACCACAAAGCGAACTCAATCTGCATCTCCGTAATTATTCATTCCGTGTTGTTTTCGTACTCGTTTCTAGACTAAATAACAAATAAAAGCATCGAATTTGCGCGAATCTCTATAAGAGCGCCTAATAAAGGTATAAATAGAGCCTTTCTGGCTGCGCTCCAATGCAATCGCATCTCTGATTTTATATGCGTTTGTTTTTCTGTTTCTTTAGGTGGATGGTGGGGATGAGGTCGAGGTGGACATCGATGAGCTTCTGGACATGGATAGTGACGATGAGAGGCGGAGGCATTTACAGGTGAGTTGTTTTTGGTGGATAATTTACTGTCCCATTGTGATGTTGATCTTAACGACTTCCTACGTTCCGAGCGTCGAGGCCAGATTTTGCCTGAAATTTATGCCGCCACCAAAAATAAAATAAAACCCCTCCTCAACGTGTGTGCATCATGCAGATATTATTCGCAGCGTAAACGTTTCCATCTGTGCTGCTTACATAATGATATGTACATACATACATATTTGGTAATGCGATATTATCGATCACGATACCGGTGCATTCATGCTGCAAAACAATCGATTTCATTCTGCACGGTGTTAATTGTTTGCCCTGCGTGATTTATTGCATCACGGCAGATAACCGATTGAAAATGAAACATTTTCTGATTTTGGTAATGAATTTTATCGTTGTAATATTGTTAACTATTGTTTTATCCTTCTTTTTAAGTCAAAACTCAAAAATCTAAAGAATTTATGAAGAAAAACACAAGTTAAAAATTTGATAATTTTTCTTTTCATTTTCATTTATAAAAATACGTATTATTACCTATTAATTGATAAATTGTAATTACAGTTGATGATACAATTTCGATTTTAAATGAAATTTACATACATTTCTTCGTGCATATTAATAATTAATTACTTTTAAAATTGAATTTGTTTGCATTATATGTAAAAATGTACAATCTTTTGGAAAACTGAAGAGTTTCCCAATGTTAAATGAAACAATTTACTATAATAAATATTCTTTTACAATATTTCATATCTAGAAAAAGCTTGTTACATATATATTTTATAGAAAAAATGATGAAAATTTAAGTAATTCATTCAACAGTTTTGATAATAAAAATGAAAAATTCTTATTTTTGTTTACAAATTTGCACAGAAATCTGCAACAAGATTGTAAAACGATTATGAGACGACAAAGTTTGAAGCACGCTGGTCACTGGATTTTTGCTGCGAAGAACTGCTGTTTTCGGTTTTGGTCGTAGAACAACCATTGTTTTTACGGTGATTGCAGCAGCAGAAGAAGCGCAAGGGGAACAAACCCGAGCACCGGAACGAATTACCATTGTTGTATGTAATGTTGTAGGCTCTCTTCCTCTCCATTTTTTTTTTCATATATATATATATAATTTTGTATACTTTTTTTTACGAAACTCCGGCTAATATTTAATTATGAATTCCACGAGGATGGGGAGAGGGCAGAGAAATTATTTTAATTGCGTACTTTGACCTCAATTTGCGAATCGGATCGGCTTGTTCTTCTCATCGAAGCATTAACCCCGACGCTCTACGATCTAATTTATTTAATTACACATCTCTACCTAATTGTATACCAAAATCTGTTATCCGATCTTCGTTATTAATAATGAAGATTGGCATCTAATTATTCGTGTAAAATGAAGCGTGGATCGGGTGTAACTTATGAATAATCCGAAGATTTAATAATCAAGATTAAAATTAATGCTTAAACGATTTAAAGCCTAAAATTACGTTTCTCATAATTCGTATAAATTGAATCATTCATCAAAATGTATCTTGCGTATGTTGTAAATAAACTGAAGGTTTTTATGTTAGTGTTAATACAAAATTAATCGTTAATTCAAAAGGATAATTGATGATTAATATTTCAGTTTAAAATTTGATATTTCTATAAAATTATGAACGATTTAAGATCTGTAATACTGATACAGAATTAATCGAAATGTACAAAATCCTAAAATTACGTTTAATATCAAATTGCAGGAATAAAATAAATCGTTTCAAAGACTGCTTTGAACGTGATCGCAGCAGTCCAGTTTTCATTTCGTTTCACCGAAGCCTCCCTGATTTGTATTTATCCTATAAATACATTTTACGAGACGGATTTCATGAGATATGGGGGATTCCGCGGCGCATTTCTATCGGTCGAAATGTATAAAATCGAACGTGACTTCATACATGGATTTGCATTTTCCAGTTACGTAAATCAAATTTAATCCAACTAGGGAAATCGTTCCTCCCGAAGATATCCCGATGTACTGAGCGAGTAATAGATTTAGCTTTCAGTCCAATCAATTCCCATGTAAAGAGCACTAGTCCTCTGAACTAATTCTATGAAAACGGTTCAAAGCGCAAATTGAGTACGAATTTAATTGTTTGCACATTTCTGGGAATACTGACGGTTCTAATCCTAAAACACATACATTGGTGTGTCTTACACTTACACAGTTTTATTGTCTTTATAATGTTTCTTTACTTATTATTATGTTTAGACAACTTTTTTGTAATTGAAACTTTTTGAAATTTTTCTAAAGAAGTGGGTTAATCTCATATAATAGACTAATGTTCTTCAAATTATATCGTCTCTTAATTGTTTTACTATCTTTTTGTAGATTTCGGAATATTTTGTTAGAAATTGTAACAAAAAATAAGAAAAACTATTGAAAACTCAATGAATTAATTATATTTTCTGTATGTAAATTTATTATACTAAATTGTTTCATTTAACATTGATAAACTCTTTAGTTTTTCAAAATTATAATGTAATAATACGTATTTTTATAAATGAAGACTAAAATTAACTTTTTTTAACTTCTTTATTTCTTCATAAATTCTTTAGATTTGACTCAAAGAGAATTATCACTGCAATATAAGGATAAAACGATTGTTAACAATATTTCATTTTCAATGGGTTATCAGACAATTAACTCGGGTTTCCTCGCAGCAAAAATCCGCTGCTGCAGCGACATTGATGATGATCAAACGGAAAGAACATTTTTGTTAAAGCATCTGCGTTTATGGTCGTGCGACTTCAAAGAGGCTAGTAGCACATGGATAATAAATAAACTGTTCGGCCGTAAAACCGACCAATAAACTTTTTTTTTTCTCTTTTTCCTTATATTGTTGTCGTCGCCGTGCGTGTGTTTCTTGTTGTTTTTATAGTAATAATGCGAGTGACCCTCGCGTCTAAATGTTTTCTAACGGATACGTCCGACCTGCGTTGATCCTCAAGAGAAGAACCCAAACTTATCGCTTTATTCAACTTGTTTATGCAGACACGTTCTTCGATAACAATTGTTACGTGACGAATTCACCCTTTAAACCAGTCTATATCCAGCAAACATTTATTTAGATGGAATTTAGTTGATGCGAAAACGCCACCTGCATTTACCTCATTGTCCGAAAGTTATGTAACAGAGTGAAGAGGAGGATTCGCGCTATGACATGACATTTCGCGCGGCTATTTAAAGCCTGTCCAGCGGAAGTTGCATTTTCTGCTCCAGTTTCGCATTAGCGTTTAGCGCAGTTTTCATTCATTCCACGAACAAAACAAAAAATATATATTATGCAGCAACTTCCAGCATGTATATTTATGAGCAGTTAATTTGGAAATGATCTGAATAAAGTATGAGATGTGCACGTGGCTTAAATTGGATTCATATTGGAAGCACACACAAAAAATTTAAGTTCTTTTGATCCATATTTTATTACCACATTGATCCGAAAATAATTCGTTTAGATTACTTTTTCGAATATAATTTAGAGCCAATTCTTTGATTTTAATAGTAAAAGTAGCCTGTTCGCAAATAAATTACTTAAAATTACAAATGAATATAAAATGGTAAATTTATAATCACTTTCTTAGCCAATTCTTTGATTGTAAAAGCAGTAACCTTTCCAAACATTATTTTACAAATAATAAATTTAAAGTAATTTTATGAGTAAATTCTTTGATTGTAAATGTAAAAGGCAAGAAAATAAAATAAAATGTATATCTTTATTAAGTGTATGAAATTCCAAAAGGTAGATTGAAAGAAATGCGGAGAAATTGTATTCAATTTCAATAATTAAATTGAAAGCATGTTATTATTTTATTTTTTTCGTTCTTCATTATAAGAAAATTTCTTTATGAAAAAAAAAGAGTAAATGCGTAACTCAATATTAATTCAACTTTCTTCAAAGAAATTTCAGTGTATGATGAATGAGTGGAAAATTATGCAATACCTGCATTGCAATGAATTGGAAATTGAAGAATGCAAGTTGTTTAAAGCCAGTTTTTCCAGTAGAATTGATTGAAAACTGTGAAAAACATATGTATTATTTCTGAGGTGAACTTTTGATAAAGATTTTGAAATTTATTGAAATAAATTGTCAATTAGGGTGAATCCAAATTGTTTAAAGACTAGTTTTTTTTAGTAAATTTTATTGAAAACTATAATGACAATATTGGTAATTTATTAAGAAAAATTTTGTGAAAATATAATTAGTTTAAAGCATTTTTTTACTGTAAAATTTAGATAATTTATAAATTATACTTTTGATGAAGTTTTGTTTCATTGAAATTAATTGAAAATACGATAAAACCAAAATTTTCTGAGACAAATTTTATCGAAAGTAATAATGAAATATAGATAATTGAAATAAAGTAAATTTTAGATCAATCTAAATAGATGAAAATACAGATCATTTATAAAGTAAACTTTTGATTAATCTTTGTTTCATTGAAATACATTGAAAATTGGAGAAAATACAAATAGTTTAATTACAATTTCTTCTTAAACAAATTTTATTGAAAGCAATTATAAAAACACATATTATTTATAAAGTAAACTTTTGATTGATCTTTTCCTCATTGAAATCATTAATATAAATTAAAAATTGGTAAAAATACAAATAGTTTAAAGCCAATTTCTTCTTAAACAAATTTTATTGAAAGCAATTATGAAAATACAGATTATTTATAAAGTAAACTTTTGATTTTTCCTCACTGAAATCATTAATATAAATTGAAAATTGATGAAAATACAAATAATTTCAAACCAGTATCTTCTTAAACTAATTTCATTGAAAACCTTCACGAAATAACAGATCTTTTATTAGTAAACTTTGGACTGATCTTTTTATCATTGAAATAAATTAAAAATTTGTGAAAATGCAAATATTTTAAAGGCAGTTTCATCTTAAACAAATTTTATTGAAAACAATTATGCAAACATAGATTATTTATAAAGTAAACTTTCAATTGATCTTTTCCTCATTGAAATCATTAATATAAATAGAAAATTAGTGAAAATACAAATCATTCAAAACCAGTTTCTTCTTAAACAAATTTTATTAAAAACCTTCAAGAAACAACAGATCTTTTATTAAGTAAACTTGATTAATCTATTTTTCGTAGAAATCATTAAAATTTAGACTAAGCTTTGTTTATTGCGATGATCTAAATAAAATGCAAATTAGAATATTTGAAATATTCTAATGAGAGTGCAGATCATTAAAAAAAGAGCAAAAAATTGACTAGAGATTTAATTAATGAAATTTATCGAGAGAGAAGATGTTGATAGCCGATGCGGAAACACGCGTTTTCTAATAACAATAACATTATGCAAATCGGCGCAACGGATTTATCCATGCAGATTAACAAACTCTATATTGTGCATTGTGCTATAACAAGTCCGTGTTATATATACTTTCTAAAAAGAAGAAAAAAAAACATATATATAAACGTGCAGACTGTTCCACGAAAAAAGGAAACTCGTGGGATTTCCTGCAGGAATGTTATTCTTCAACTCTGTCTGTGTATGAATGTGTGCTGTTACGCTACAATTATTACGATTCGATTGCTCAATTTCGCATCGCTAATTCCACATTTTCTCTGTGCTTTCAGATGCTGCTGACGGGAGCGAAAAAGTCGCAAAACGACGTTAAGGTAAACACCGTTAATTCCTATTCGATTCGGGTTGTATTAGTTTATTTTTCATTGTTGTTGCTACATTTTAATCCGCGCTGAATTGCATGTTTACAGTGGCGATTTTACCTGGAATTAAGCCAAGTTCTTTTATCTTTGTTTGCAAATCGAAGCAAACATTGCCGCCGCAGCTTCGAATATGCAATTAGATTTTGCAAAAAACAAAAAAAAAATCTATAATTGGCTAATCAGCATTTCAATATTTATCATTATCTATTTTAATCTATTAATTGTACAATTTAATTGTGTACACAAACAAATAAAATTCACTTTTATCAGATTTCGTTCTAATCTGAATATTTAATAGCGAATTGATTGTTTCATTATTAATTTACGTTTTTGATTTCAGAAATTCATCAACGATCTTCTTGATAAAGCGAAAACTTTGTAATCAAGTGCCAAAAGAAAAAGTATACACAGAAAACAAGGAGCAGAAGAATGAAGCACACAAGAATCGCTGTGGACAAAACCAAAACCAGCTATTTATTACGTTAGATGGAGATTTTCTTTTTGTACGTTCTTTGTGACGACAAGTTTTCGTTTTTTTTTTAATAATTAGGAATATGGGCGACATCATGCAAAGTTTTTTGAGAAGCAGCAGCAGCAGCAAAAGAGGAATCAGCAGAAGCAGCAGCAGCAGCGTGATATAAATGTATAACATAATGTGCACACTTTTATAATTTGTTACGTGACTGAGATATCATTACATATTCGTGTATTATTATTATTTTGTATACTTTCGCATCTGCACCGAACGTAACATTAACATTATTAACGATTCTCTCTTGCAAAAACAACAAGTGGAAACTATTTCGTATTTTGAGTAGGTTTTAGTGCGGAGAGTTTTTTAGCTTTAATATTGATGAAGATGTTGATCGAAAGTGTCGTTTTTTTACGTGTCCCCACAGATAATCCAATTTCCTCGTATCGTTAATTAAAAAAAAAAAGAAGCTAATTGTATCCGTTTTGTAACGAGATTTATATATATAAACTTTAGGAGAGGAACAACAACACAAAAATTATATACATTTAAGCATTGTAATACTAGTCCGTAAATGGAACACACTGAGAGAGTACAGTTTTTTCTGTTTTCAATTAAAACGTAGAATTATCATATCTTTGACTGCCTCACGGATTATAAGATACATGTCATCATTAATATCTATATAAAAAAATATGTACGTTTCTTATTTATGAAAGTTGTCGAAATGTTTAATGCTCACATTATTATAATTATTGTTGCGACTGATTTCAGTTCTCGCGTATTTAAATTACATATCCTTGCCTGTTGATAATGTGTTAATCGTTTGTTGCGTAATTAATTTGATGGATCTATATTGTGCGTAAAACATTTTTTTTAAAGATCAAAATTTATAAATTGATCTCAATTTATTTAACTTTTTTTATAATTATTATTATTATTCGAGACATGTATTTATGTAATGTGTTGTTATATTAGATATACTTTATGTGTAACATTTATGAATCAATAGAAACAGACATAGTATTACCATTTGCTTGGGTTTTCTTTTATTTTATAATTATTTTTTCTTCCGATTGAAGCGAATACTGAAATCAATCAGAGAGAGAAAACGTTTTTTTTTTTTTTCGTTTTCTTTCATCGTCGAACGTGAATAAAACACTTTTTGTTTACGCTAATTGAAAAGCGAGCTTTTTGGCCGTTCGCCCAAATCGCTGTAAAAACATAATTAACTGCGAATGAATAATACCAGCCGCCACGAAATTTTATTAGTTTTATTGATCCTTCATTAATCTCAGTTTATTTCTAATTGATTGGATATTTCTTTTAAATAATGATTAATGGAAGTTACATTTTATACATTGATTTGTTCATTTTACAAATAAAATTTCGTGTATGTTCAATGTATGTAAGTTAATTATTTGAAAGCGTAAAAGCCTGGAAGTTCGAATCTTGTTAGATCTTTCGAATATCAAACTCTATTATCTGCTTTTACCTCGAGTAAATAAGGACGTTGTAACTTGATACTATACTACATTGTTGCAATGAAATCGTTTCTACTATACAATGTAAATTGGTTAGTTAATTCAATTGTAATCGTTCCAAATTAAACTATTCAAATAGTTCAGCGCAGCAATGGTGCAAGTAATAGCTTTCTTGAGGAAAGTAGGGCGCAAATTAAAAAATCCCTTTGATTCCTTAAGTATTTGGCTCAAAACGCAAAATGTTGCAGCAGCCATGAAATAAATATATAGTGAAAATTCGAACATAATTCATTAAAAAAAAGTGTTTGATAATTTTCTGGTATAAATAAAATAATAATATAACAAATATGGCACGTTTCAAAAATTTCAATATTTCGATTTTGAAAATTCTTGATTTTTTTTAAACATTACTTAAACGAAATGTCTCTAAAATTATACACCATTTTTGAATTTAACTGTGAAATAATATGCGGAAAAACATATGGCAGCAAATATAATTATGTAATAACGTTTATGAAATTTTTCTCATTTTTCTTAAGGAGCTAGGCAACCGAATATACAGATCTGTATGTTTGATTGCAGGCACAAATAGGAGCAAATGCGCATATGTGGAATGGTCCATTTAAATTCAAAGTGTTTTTAATGGATTTGTTCTTAATTTTGCAATTTTCTGAATGCAGACTGAATAAAGAACTTATTTCGTTATTTCTCAAGGAAATTTACTCGTTTAAGCTAATTTCACTGCATTTCTTTTAGAAAAAAGTAAACTGTATCGGGTGGAGGTGTTACGAGGCCAGAGAAATGTGAATTTGACTTCCTTTCGTTCTCTATATCAGGGTTTCCCAAACTTTTTCTGCAATGGAACACTCTGTAAATACTGACATTTTCACGGAACACCCTGTTAAGTTTGTGGGGTTTATTTAAAAATGTGAAAAACATTCAATATTTATCAACTTTTCAAGGGAAAGCCCTTCTCTAGATACTGTAAAACATTGTTTAGAACATTAGATTTTTCTTTAATGAGGATTCTACAGTCACTATTTATTCGATTTCATTACATTTTCTTGCATAACTCAACAACCTCAAAAGATAATTTGATCAACGAATACTCAAATTAAAGTTGAAGAACTCACTTTTTTTAACCCTCTGTCGTCCATTCTTCTGATACGAGATATCAAAAGGGTTATTGCTGAAAAAGACCATCTTCACGTTTTCATTAATTTCAGGATAATCACGCAGGATAATTACATAATTCAATTACAAAAATCGTATTTTTATACAATTTCTGATTGTTTTCTATAGGATTTCTACGGTGCTAAGATTCATACAAACGTCTGTCGTAACTTATTAAATAAAGAAACAAATTGTTCTCGAATTTTGTTAAAATCATAACTTGATAGATATTTTAATTTTTCTTTAATAACTCGAAAAATAATAAACTATTTTATTTTATTATCAGGTGTGGGAAAGCGCTGCGTAACTCGTTACGTAACGGTCCGACGAGTTTTCAGTTTTCCCTGTTATTTTTTTACTAATTTCTCGAAATTTCCTTAATTTTCTTACATTTTTTTGTTGCGTAGAAAGGACGCTACCTTTACGAAACGTACTATACAAGGAAAATTACGTAATGTTCATTAAGTAACCGAGAAACGACGATTTTGGATGTCTTCGGGTTTTATTGAATTACTCGAGAACCGCTGAAGACAATTACATCATCTTGCACTCAAATTATAGCCGAAAGTCTCACCTTAATTTTACCTTTAATTAGAGTATTCATTGTAATATGTAGCGTTTGTAATTATCGACTAATTAAAAATAAATATAAAGATATTTCCAAATTTGTATTTATTTGTATCAATTAATTAACAACGTTATATTTTTGTCTTTAATTTGCGTATCCAATGATTTAATTATTATTTATTGTTGGCGAGTAATTAAACAAAAAGTGAAGTTGTTCAAATTAATTAAGAAAAACGTCACATTTCGGTTATTAATTATTATTGTGTAATAGCAAAATTTGCGCAATAGAATCCTTTTTCTTATGTAAATCCGTTCGATGGCTACAAGATATCAAATCTAATATTGCTGAAAATGCAACCTCTTCACGTTTTATTATTTTTTTCAGGATAACCTCGCAGAATAATTATGTAACGCAATAGAAATCATATTAGTGGAAACCTTTCAAATGAGTGGAATTGCCAATGGGATTTTGTTAAAATCGCAGCTTCATAGAAAAAAAAACAATTTTCGTTAATAACTAATGAATCTTTTTATGGTTTCGTTATGTAAGAAACGATACGATCCGACGAGTCTTCAGTTTTCCTTGTTTTTTTTTTTATTAATTTCTCGAAAGCTACGTAATTTTCTTGTTGGAATTAAATCGGAAATTAAATTAAATTCGTTATGTAACAAACGTTGCGATCCGACGAGTTTTCCTAACATAATATAAATTCAAAATTGGCGCGTAATTGGTAACATGCGTAACTAGGGCGAAGCGAAAAGCATGCGCCTACCCTACGCCGTTTCGAGACAGGCCGATGAGAGAGAGTGTTGACATTTTATCGAGCATTTCAGTCGGGCTAATAAAACGCGAAAACTCTTCATTTTAACCGGTTCGAAATCGTTCGATTCCCTTTAGTTCAAATTAGGAATATCCACACAGCGACTCCGACAAAACACCGTTTCTTATGGCAACTGTAGACGATATCGATAGCGGCATGGAATCACAACCTACCAGCGCGAAAGACACGACCCCAGAAAAGAAGTCAATCGAGATCGAAAACGACTTGGAAGATGAGGTAAGTTTGATGAGAAAATATAGCCCTCCAAAAAAAATACCTTCTCTCAATGTTATACAAACCCTAACCTCAATTTTCCTCATCACTCCAGTGTTATGGAACTTGCATAATCATTTAACTATATTTGTAGCCCGATGAGACTCTGTCCGAGAGATTGCTTGGACTTGGAGAGATGTTCCCAGACTCTGTCAGAAAAGTGTCATGTGCTGTCGCTGAAAACACCACAGCCGGTGTGAAGAACCTCTACAACTTCTCCAGGAATGCCCTGTGGATTGTATTCAGCACTTCAATTATACTCTTCGCCCCTGTTATATTCGAGGTGGAGAGAGCACAGCTCGAAGAGTTGCAAAGGAACCAACAGAAACAAGTATAAATCTTTTATTTTTTTTACTCTTTATGTTTATTAACGTTTATTTGTTTTGCAGTTGCTGCTCGGTCCCAACACTGCGATGGCTGGCGGCCCCGGCATGTCGTTGATGCCCCCAGTGCATAGATAGACTGCAAACGCCTTTAATTTGATTCCCTACAAACTATTTTCTTTTCTTTTTTTAATTCTACGCAATGTATATCCACAATATATTACGACTGACTTTTGATTTTCACATAGTACGCTCGTCACATATGTACTATATTCTATTCTATTGTCTCTATTATGTTGTGAATAAAAGCTGAACGTTAACCAAAAAAAAAAAAGAGAGAACACACATTATATTACGTAATTGTTATGTATGAACAGTACAAGGGGGATGACCGATGAAGACAAAAATCGCGTTGTAAATTTTATAATTTGTAACAACCGCGCATTTAACCATGGTTTCCTAAGTCAAGTCACGTTAGTTTGTTGTTTATATGTTTTGTTTTTAGTAAATAAATTGGTTGGATATATTCAACAATTCTAGGTGTACATAATTTTCTTGATTCATACGAAGAACAAAATTTAGATAGGTTAAATAAATTAATATAAATTATAATTAAAAGTCTTTTAACTAGGAAGTTTCTCTTTTGTTCATTGAGAACCTTCAATGTTCATAAATAGTAATAATATAGATTAGCATGACGTTATATTACTGAGTAATGAAAAAAACGTGAAAACTGCATTTTCAAATTTAATAGATGAACGTTACACAACTCAAATCTGTTGAATTTTCAGCAGAAAAATCATAGTTTTATCTTCAATTTGAATGATTTAATTAGAATGCGTGTTTATCATGATATTACATAAAAGATAAAATAATTTTAAGCAACATTTTGAATTTAACGTATATTTAAAAAGTAAAAAAAAATGCAAAAATAATCATAAATCTAATATTAATTTATAAACTACAGTTTTGAAAACTAAAATTTATTACTGTAGTTTACTATATTATAGGGGCTCGCGAGCCGCATGAGGCTCTTCAAGAGTCATGTTGTGGCTCAACAGCACAACCGAAAGACCGTCTATTGAAATCCCGACCATATCAAAATCTCGACAACCATAATCCCGACTACATCGATTTTTTTTTAAACCTTAACATTATGAAATAATCTCAAATACAATTGGATTATTAATTGTTATTATTTATTATTAATAATAATTTAAAAGTCACTAAGCTCCGGAATAATTTAAAAATGTAGACATTTTCGATTTAGTCGCGATTTTGATACAGTCTGGATTTTAATATAGTCGGGAATTTAATTGACGGTATTTCGGTTGTCGGGCTTGCAATTGCCACCGATATTTTATATTATGATTGAGATTTTTTAATAATTATTATACCAACAAATTTAGATGCGGCTCTCGCTGCAAAAAGACTGGCCACCCCTGCTATATTATTAACAAGCTTTAATAAAAAGAACGAAGAATGTTCTAAGAGGTAACATGGTAATTCTTGAATCATTTCATTCTTTGTTTAAATAAAGTTAAAGTCTTTGTTATAACATAAATATTTAACACTAAAACTACATTATTTTACAACAAATATACTCTATGAATTTCGGAAATAACTGAAAACCTGTTTAAATTTTTATATATTTTATTTATACTTAAGAAAAAGGCTTCTATTGCGCATATTTTGATACAAGAGCTATTACTTAATGATAATTACTTACTTTTTTTTAGTAATTTTAACAATTTTGCTTTATGTTTAATTAATTAGTAATCAGTTCAATACTTATAAAAATAGAGGTTTTAATGAGTTTACTGCCAGATTTGTATCGACCATCATTTGCATGTTAGAAACAGTCAAATTTGGGAATTAAATATAATTATATTTTTTTAATTACGAATACTACTTATTACTATGAATACTCTAATTAAAGATAAAACTATGGGCTTCTAGTAATATTACAGAAAATATTGCACTTATTGCCATTCCCTAGCAATTTTCATTCAAATTAGTAACGTTTGTTAATAACTAAACAAATCTACTTTAAATACTGTATGATGTTTAGTTGCATTTATCTTACTAATTACTGACTAGATGACAGAGCATTTTAAATGAGTTTAATTTGTATAAATATTACAGTTTTTAACAGTAATTATATAAAATATAAAGTACTGCACTTTCAAATTTGAAGTGTATTAATTGATATATTTCGGATATTGATAATATTTACTAAAAACTCATAGTTTTGTCTTCAATTAGAGTATACATAGTAATAATAAGCATTTGTAGTCGAATTTGAAGCTGGTGTTCTAATGCTCATATTTGAAAGCTTATAAAAGACAAATACCACAAACCATATTTATGAATGTGGACTTATTCGAAAGGTCATAGATTTATCTTTAAATTGCATTAATTTTAATTAGTATGCATAGTTATCGAGTAATTAAATAAAAATATGTAGCAGTTTCAAATATGAAATGTATTTACTGACATACTTCGGTGTATATTGAGTTGCCTGTACGTGAGGTGCAAAAAGCAATGTACATTTTCTTGAACAATTATCGCCATCTCTTCGGAATATGTCTATTTCCTTAAAAACTGAAGTATTTATATAAATAATAGGCTTATTTTCATTAAATATTTATAAAAATCATGTTAATCTAAGATAATCTGTATTCTGGTTACTAATTTTGAAGATAAATGCATCTGAATATTTGTAATTACCGACATCTTATATTTTCCAATCGCAATACTATATTTAAATTAAGTTTGTTTAGTTTTTATTAATCATTACTAATTGAAATGTTAATAACTAGAGAATGGCAATAAGTATAATATTTTCTGTAATCTCAACTTAAAGGTCATAATTTTACCTTTAATTAGAGTATTCATTGTAATAAGTAGCGTTTGTAATTATCGAGTAATTAAAAATAAATATAAAGATATTTCCAAATTTGTATTGTTTCTAACATGCAAATGATGATCGGCACAAATCAATTCATTAAAACCACTATAATTTGTCTTCAATTTGCTTATCCAATGATCTAATTACCATTAATTGTTTGTGAGTAAATAAACAAAAAGTGAAGTTGTTCAAATTAGTTAAAAAGACGTCATATCTCGGTTATTAATTATCATTGTGTAATAGTAAATAAAGTATATAAAAAGTTAAACAGGTTTTCAGTTATTATTCAGAATAAATTAAAATACTAATTTTAAAATTTGTTAATTATTTAATAAACTATAGTAATAGATTTTGGTTTTCAAAACCGTTTACTACTTTTGAAATATACTTTAAAACCAAAATGTTAATGTTTATAAATCATTGATTTATGTATCTCAACATTAGATTTATCAGTATTCTGTAGGAAACAGAGTAACATTGAAAATGCATCATTGATTCTATATTTTATAAGGAAAAAGTTAATACATTTATTTTAAATTAATTAAAAGAAAACAAAGAGAAAAATTAAATGTCGACACCCTGTATTTTCATGTACATTACATTTCTTGAAAATAAGTCACATATACTAAAATATTTTATTCGCAAATGACGTTTTTCTTTTGTCTTCCCTTCCAAAAATCCTTTATACAAATATATAATAATAATAACTACAACAAATAACAAACAAAACAAAAAAAAAACTACACAAACCCCCACAAAAAAAAATAATAATAAAATAAAACAATTCGTCGTTAATAATAAAAAATAATAATAGTTTATAAATGAATTACAATATTGGATTCCTTCTGTTGCGTTTTTTTTTCGCAACAAAGTCGTTAACATTAACAAAAAACGAAATAAAATGTCACTTTCGTTTCACAACATAACAAAAATATTAAACACATATCATTTGTATAATACCTAGCATTTTTAAATCATATTTAAATTCGCTGCGTGAAATCGTTATTACCTCTTCTCCTCCACCTTCTTAACAAGGTCGAGTTCGGAATTCGAACAATGTACACCCACATTAAATACAATAACTAATCTAGCATTTCATGCAAACCTCGTTTAAAAATAATAATCATAATAAATTAGCATATGTATATGTAATTAAGCATTCTCAATATATTTTCTTTAAATGCAATTATAATAATAATATACCTTGTCCAAATTTCAACTGTTTTTTTTTGATATACATATACTATTTCAAATATATACATAAAGATTTGATATTTGATGAAGTCTTATATAATCAGACTATAAGTTCTCGTATGCAAATCAATTTATAGTGATTTATAAAAATTAAATGATGTCATTGAAAATTCCCAGAATGCAAAATGAAATTTAAACATTCATTATCACCCAACTTAATACTGATAATATATATAATATAAATACTAGTGTGTGTGTATATATAGAGATTTAAATTGCTGTTAACTACAGATTTAACATGTTGATCACCGAGTTCGGGGTGAAGACGTGCACCAGACTGTCCCATCCGCAATCAGCCAATTCACCCTGCTTGTGATTACTCCAATCCAGGCCGTAAACGAACTCCGAATGATGCTTTATCGTCTCCATAGCTTCGCTGCCGTTCTTGAAATCCCATAATCTCGTTGTATAATCGTAACTGACCCCCGCGAGTAGACTCATACAGTGCGGCGAAAACTGCACCCTACGAACGGCGTACTCGCATCCCTTCAATTGAAAGATCGGCTGAGCGTAACTCCTAAGATCCCATCCGCGAATCAAACCGTCCGATCCTCCAGTCGCAATAATATTTTGATCGTACTTGCACCAATCGCAGGTCAACACTTCCGCGTCGTGAGCCCGAAAACTCATGCTCGCCGTGCTGTTCAGCGTGTTCCACAATTTCAAGTTGCCGTCCCCGGACACCGAGGCGAAGCAGTTCGTCAGATGGGGACTCCACATTGCATTGTAAACCAGCTGGGAGTGACCCAGATAGGTGTTCAGGGAAATCTTCCTCGTTGGATTCCATACCTTGATTGATCTGTCCCAAGAGGCACTCACAATCAACTGATCCTGCCGTGTCCTTGTCCAATCCACAGAGTACACCTCCTTCTTGTGCTCATTCAAGGTTTGACAAGGGACATTGCCTAAAAAAAAATTGCATACACATCAGATTTTTATGTTCACTGAGAATGTGATTGAAACAAACCTGTTAAATTCCATATCTGAAGTCCACCATCACCAGAAGCACTAACAACTATGTTGGGATCGACCTCTGACCAGACACAATCGAATAAACCATCGGACCACTGGAAATTGTTCCTCTCCACCAGTTTACCATCAACCAGTTCCAAGAGGAAGAGTGTGCCTCCACCGGCTAGCCCAAAATATTGGCTTGTTGCAACCACCACTTGGTTGGCGTTGAACGGTGAAAATCTTACACTGTAACCATGTCTGTTTGGTGTTAAGTATGTAGCCATAATATGTTGGATGCAAACTGGTGACTGCAGAAGAAACTCTTATTTCAACAATAATATCGCCGTCAATGCCATCCTGGCTGCGTGTGTGGCACTAATGCATAAATCAATGTTATTCTTTCTGGGAAAGGGTTGAGCATGATAAAAAAAATATCCAAAGTTTTTTATCGCCATAACGTACGGAAAACGTGTTTTTGACATTTCGTGACAGCTGTCAGGGCCCCGCCGCACATGACAGGTATAAATGTTCGGGTGAACACACCATCATCATATGGGTCGTAGTATGCAGCTATGCAGATGATCATCAGGGAACCGCATTGATTAATCAGCTGATATTTATTTTACTTCTATTCATATTTACATAGCATTAAACACATATTATTTGATTAAATTCAGCATAATATCTTCATTATTTCAATTTAATTTAAATAAATCATAATATATACACAGTGATCACAGGAAAAGAAATATATTACATTGTATAAAAACAAATATTTTTGCAATTTATTCATGTTCTTTCGTCTGTTAAATATTAACAACTTGTAAATATTAACATCTATAGCAACGTAATTTAACAAAAGTCCCATTAAATTTGAATTTATTAAATTTACTTGATTAATTTCAGCATAATATATTCATTATTTCAATTTAATTGAAATAAATCATACTAAATACACAGTGATCACACGAATTATTTACAAAAAGAAATATATTACTTTTATAATACAGGTATCGAACTAGTTCCGTTCGAAAGGGTTGTACGTAAGTCGAATTTGTTCGTATATAATGACCCTTTAATATGTACATCTGCCTAATGACTTACGAATTAGTAAGTCTTTATCATGGTTTTTACTTTCATATATGTTAAATTCCGTCACGGTGTCCAAGGATTTCTTAACCCTGGGACACGACACGTAAGTAGAGGGAATTTAACAAATTTCAAAATATATTTATTTTATATATGTTCAATTCCGTATTACTAACTGCATAAATTTGAAAAAATATATTAAAATAAATAAAATACAAACTTACAAATACTTTTCAATGTAGACAGCAGAATTATATAATAAAAAAAATGAAAAAAGAAATAAATACAACAAAACAGATAGTACATCTTCCAAAAATATTATATTTGAATAGAGAAATTATCAATTTTTGTTTGGACAGTTATTTTTTTATCACTATAACAAGTTAGAGCTTTTAGAATTTTGTTCGTAAATCCGGGAGTTCGTAAGTCGGGTGATACCTGTATATATATTTATGTAATTTATTTATGTTTTTCCGCTTTTAAATATTAACAAACTTGTAAATATTTAGATTTATAGCAACGTAATTTAACAAAAATTTCAGAAAATTTGAATTTACTAAATTTACTTGATTAATTTCATCATAAAATCTTCATTATTTCAATTTAATTTAGAAAAATCATATATATATACAGTGATCAAAGGAATTATTTATAAAATGAAATAAATTACTTTTTATGATACATATATTTATAATTCTATAGTTAAATTTAACGAAAGTTCCATTAAATTTAAGAAATTTACTTTTAACAATATTAATAAAATTACAAAATTTTAACTTTTAACTTAACCCTTTGACATACGAATAAAATATAAATTATGTATCATTAAATTGTTTAATTAGTAAATAATTCAAGAAATATTAAAGACTACATTTTCTTAGATACTATATAATTGTTTCTTTTACTAACATTACGAAAAGTCAGTTTTTTTTTTCAAAACTAAAGCATTAAATGGCTTTATATTATTATTCAATACTTCTTGACGAATTTATTTTATTTTTATCGTTTACGAACAATTTTTTCATATAACTTCAGAACTTTCGCTTAAACTACTGACTACACTTTCGTTAAAAATACTTACGAGCTTATTATTTATTTCTCTACAATTTTACAGATTTGAAACTTTACTAATTATTATTTTTACCGCGTAATTAATTGAAAATTCTATAACAAACTTTAGACGTCTGGGACACGTCATTATATGTCAAAGAGTTATTTTTTATGTGACAGTTATTACATTTATTCATTATTCAACATTATCTTGTTTTGTATAACCGTTATTGTTGATATTATGTTAGCCCTAATTATTTTATACATATGCATGTATGTAAGTCATTAAGACTAAGTACAAATACCACTTTGGAAGATCCCATAACTAATCATTATTTAACGAATATTGTTAATCACCATGTTGTGCACAAATGCAAAGGGCCAATGACAACTAATATGTACATCTGGAAAGTTAGGTACTATCTTCCCTTACCAAATATTGTACTCCCACTATGCTAATTCACTACTATATAATATGATATTTATATAGTACAAGGTTAGTCCTAGATAGTCCCTAGTCCTAGCTAGTCGCTAGTCCAAGTTAGTTTTAGTCTTAGAGGAGAGTCCTCTCGAGTCCTAGTTAGACTAATAAAAACTTTAGTAATAAACATAGCAACTGGAATCTAGACATAGAAGTTATTAATAATCTTTTAGAGAATAATAAAGTGTTTATTATCATAAAAACTCCACTAGTACTCCACAATGACATAACAACGAGATTTTCCACAGTGTCCATAGATATTTGAATCCCGAGACACGACAACCTATTGTTAAAAATACATTAGCTTCAATTTACATTAGTTGCTTCCAACAGTTTTAATAGTTGAAAGACAAAATTGAATTTCAAAATTAATGATACTATTTGAAATCACTGAGCTAGAAAGGCTTATACTTGTTTTAATTAATTAATTTCCATTATCAATATTTAACAATTAATGAAAATACGAATTGTTAAAATATTTGAATTGTCTATGGAAAAGTCTTTGCTGTTTTATGCTTTGTTTTGATATGTTTTATAAATATAAAAATAATCTATTTAACGCAAAAAGCTTTAACTATATAAAATGCTAACTATGCTCGATCTAGCATATAAGGCAACATTAATATGATTTGTTATAATTAATAGTGTAAATCAGTGTAAATGTCAATGTCATCGCTCTGATGAAGATTTCTAATTTGAGAATGACTCGGACTCAGACTAAAAAAAAAAGAGAAGCATTCTTTTTCCCATATCATCTGTTGACCGATTCTAAAGAATATACCTGTTCAACGAGTCTTGTGTGCTTGCTTGCTTGCAAGCAAACGGTCACTTCAAACGTCCGTCTGCACATGTTCAAAGTCAAACGAATTCCAATATATTTCTCTACCTAATTAGCATCTCTCCCATAAATATATTATTTCATTTCTTAAACCAACAATAAAAATACATGTAAATAAAATATAAACAATAAATAACACTAGCTAAAATGATAATTTTAACGGGATTCTTGATACCTGCAATTATTTAATATAATAAATGTCTTCCTTGTTTTATTTTCCACAGAAATACGATTAGATATTCATATTTTATTTGTTGTTGTCTGCGTTCTTTTCGTGTTAAAAATTATTGTTTGGAATTTCTTTGAATGATTAAAGAATCTTGATTATCACTTTTCTTCCTCACGTCCTGTTTGAATCGAGCCTGCATCTTGATCGACGGTAAACGTTCTACAACACACACCGAATTCATTTTCTTCCCGCTGCAGCCTCCTCCTTTCTTCCCAACAATTCCCGGCAACGAGTTCTTAGAAACCGAACGTTCGTCGTAATTAACGCATTTCAATTGAGCGACGGTGGTAAAATAACTGTCCTCGGTTATTCCCGACGCGTAACTCTCATCCGTAACGTAATTAACCTCTTGTTCCTCGTAGGATTCTGAATATTCGCTGTAACATTTTGAAGGTGAAACGATTTCGAGATTGGATTCAACCGATTGCTCTGAAATGATATTTGATGACTTTTCCGAATCGAATTGTTGAACGAAGGGGATTGAATGGCTGGCGTGGACATCGATTGGCGACGGTTGCGGAGCGATGTCTTCCTCCCAAGTACCAGATTTGTAATTGATGATTTTCTCGTCGTAACTCTTCAGTTCCAGGCCCAGAATCTTAACGCACGCTTGGTGCCAGCATTGCACTATGAACTTCCTCCGCTGCTTATCCAAATAGTGTTGATAGCATATATCCAAAGCGTTTTGGATAATCTCTTCGCGGATTGAACAAACTATAGAAAAATCGTCTTCCTCGCTGAGCGTATCGTTTAATTTATTCACCACCGATTTCGATTGAGATTTAAGCTTCAACATAACGTCAGAACTGATAAACAATAAAAAAAAAAACATCCTATTGCTTCGATTTCCTGAAATTGAACCTCGCCAATTGCCTAATCGGTGGTAAATCATTGATGTAGAACCCGTCACCGGTGTGAGAACTAGACTTCTTCATGCTACCCTTCTGCGCTTTCGATTGATCTGCTTCTTTAACAGGAGGACAACTGTCTTCGAGGTACGGTAAATTCGTTTCCGGCTCTTTGGCCATCGCCGTGAAGAAGGACATCTCGGATGAAATGTCTCCGTAATACGAAGAACCTTCTCCGAAATCGACTGATACTTCACCTGTGATTTCCTCGTATCCTTTTCCGCTGCCAATTACCGACAAAGACTTTTCCACCTCAGCGGCTTGTTGCGACTCGACAGTGATACTATGCTTCTCCTCTTCCGGTTGCTCTATTATTGGGAGCGAGAGTTGAGCCCAAGTGTCTTTCGCGCACGGTTCCGGCGGTGCTTCGTTCTCCCAAAGCAACGAGTCCGAGCTGATGTTAACCACGTCCTTGTCGTAATACATGAAGGCTGTCTTCAAACCGCTGATCCAAGCGGCGTTCAAGCTATGCACCAGAAACTTGATGCTCTGCTTCTGCACGTATTTCTTGTAGCAGATGTCCAGTGCGTTGTCCACGATTTCGTTGCGCACCGAACACACGATTTGGAAATGCTGATCGGCGTCGAGGAATGCTTCGATTGAGCTGTCGAAGATCTTCGAATTCGAACGGGACTTCGATGATAGGCTTCTGGGGCGCTTCTTCTTCGCATGCTTTCCGCCTGCATCGATACCACTCTCAACACTACTCATAAGAAAATTGTCTGCGTAAATCTTTCAGTCTTATGACAAAACCGAAAAACCGTACAACTTGATTATTATTTCAATCAAATGTTTAAACCAATTCATATTGAACTGAATCACATAATAAAATATTTTAATTCAATAAATTGATTTTATTAACCTTTGCAAAGGTTAGTTTATTAAGTTTTTTTCTTTAAATGTCGGTTATTCAATAAATTAATATAATAAATGTATTTATATACATTTCGTCAAATTTCAAAATTATACAAAAAAAAAACAAGTTCAATTACTAATTTGGTCATTTTGTCAAAATTTTTAAGAAATAACTAATTTTTGGATATATTAAATATTATATTTTGATCAATCATAAATTTCCATATTTCACAAGATCTTCGTCATACACTACAATTTCTGTTAATAGATTTGACCTAAATCAATTCAGTTTCCTGAACAATCTTATAACAATTATTTTGGCTTATTCAATTATCATAATTTATCGCTATTTCCTGAACGAATTTCAATATAATTCTAAATATATGAGATCAAAAACGATGACCAAATAATATATGTTTTCTTGTTGTAAATATGAAGAAATTTCATGTTGCAAAATGATGTGTTTCGAAGAAGGTAAAGTCGCGTAGTGAATAGACATAGAGGGGACGACGCATTGTGTCCGAATTTAGTGCGATCGAATGGGATGAACCCAAACCGAAAGATGAACGTAAAAAAAAGAGAATATGTAGAAAAGAAGACGAAAGACGAGCAGATAAACCACCGATTTCGTAACTTGATTACCTTCATAATTATAATATAAAAGTGCCGGGATCATCTCGGATATTGTTCAGTTTTGTGTCAATCTTATCATTAGACAGAATATGGTAGGTGAACAAGCATCATTCTCAATTTTTATACAAAATAACATTACTAACAAATCGTTCGGTATTATTAGTTTGTGATCGAATTTTGGATTAAATCATCTCTTACACTTAATTGCATCTAAATCAATTTGGATTATTAGATTATAAACAGGACAATTTTGATATTTAATTCGTTTAATAGTTCATTTTGAAACTAATTAAATTTAATAATAATTGTTTTTATTCGTTTTCTTTGATTCAATAACATAATTTATTTTTAAACTTTTGTTATTTTATTAAATTTAACAATAATTAGTTAATTTTATATTAAATATGTGGAATTATGTAACTGAAATCAGTTAAAAAATCATAGTTATTTGTCATAATTAACAAAAGTTTAAATTCACAAAGAAAAGTATAAATTCATTAAATCATTGCATTTAGTTGTAACAAAATATCGAAAGTAAGTAATTTGTTAAAATTTGATGATAATAATTAATTTTTAGTTTAAATTTGAAATATTATAAACTTTTAAATTTAAAAAAATACTTGTAAACTTAATCTGACTAAGAAATGAATAAGATTTTAGTGCAATATAAAGAAATCATAGTGATTCGATTTCAATAAGTATTTATTTCATATAATATAAAGCAACAAATCATTTTTATAATGTACCAATTTTATAATCATTGATGAAAGAAAAAGTGTGCAGATCTTAAAGAAAATATTAATTATAACAGATTAATTATTACATTTGGAATGTTGCTAACATTTGTGACTATTTATAATTGAAATATTAAATTGTTAAATCCGGGTTTATACTAAAAAAGTTGAATAATTAGAATTTCCTGATTAATTTAATTTAAAAAAATTTGCATCAACGTTTAAACTGGTTTTATTTGTAGTAATTAGATTTAAACATTATCAATTTTTTTTTAATCGTGATCAATTTGCATCAAAACCAACGTAATATTGAACCAAAGACAAAAAATATTAGTAAAATGTTAATTTGTATTTCACTTTTCAAAGACAGTTCAATTACGTAAAGAAATTGACTCAACGTAATTATTATATAATGACTAAATATGTATTGATGCACATAAAACACAAATATTAATACAAGTTTGTTAATATGATTACAATCTTCGAATTCATTCAAATGCATCTTCGTAATTAATTATATTTAAACATATTTTTAATTGTTATGCATTAAACATAACTTGGCTTCGATTAGTCCGGTTTTACTATAAAAAAATCCAAATTTTAATTGGAAAAATAAATTCTCAGAAATCGGTAGTCAAGTCTCTTTTTGTACTGCTTATTTTAATGCTATTTTAAAGTCTTCGATTAGTACGGTTTTAAACAGATATTGGTATGTATTATGTAAATAGTAAATACATCAATATCTTGGCTTCGATCAGTCTAGATTCACTATAGAAAATTCAAAATAAACCAAATTTTAGATGATAAAATAAACTGTAAAAAATCGTTAGACAAATCTCTTTGTATGCTGTTCATTTCAATGCTATTTTTAAGCCCTCGATTAGCACGGTTTTAAACAGATGTTAGTATCTATTATGTAATTAGTATATACGTCAATATCTTAGCTTCGATCAGTCCGGATTTACTATAGAAAATTCAAAATAGACCAAATTTTAGTTGATAAAATAAATTCTAATAAATCGGTAGACAAACCTCTTTTTGTATTGCATATTTCAATGGTATTTTAAAGTCCTCGATTAGTACGGTTTTAAACAGATATTGGTATCTATTATGTAATTAGTAAACACATCAATATCTCGGCTTCGATTAGTGTTGATTTACTAAATTTAAATAAATTAACCAAATTTTATTATCAAAATAAATTCTATAAAATCGTTAGTCAAATCTCTTTTTGTACTGCTTATTTCAATGCTATTTTCAAGTACTCGATTAGTACGGTTTAAAACAAATATTGGTATCTATTATGTAATTAGTAAATGCATCAATATCTCGGCTTCGATCAGTCCGGTTTCACTATACGAAATTTCAAAATAAACCAAATTTTAATTGGCAAAATAAATCGTTAGACAAATCTCTTTTTGTGCACCTTATTTCAATGCTATGTTAAAGTACTCGATTAGTACGGGTTTAAACAGATATTGGTATGTATTATGTAACTAGTAAATATATTAATGTTTTGGCTTCAATTAGCCCGGATTTATTATAGAAAATTTCAAAATAAAACAAATTTTAATTCGCAAAATAAATTCTAAGAAATCGTTAGACAAATTTATTTTTGTGCTGCTTATTTCAATGCTATTTTAAAGTCCTGGATCAGTACAGTTTTAAACAGATATTGGTATGTATTATGTAATTATTAAATAGATCAATATTACGGATTAGATTTGTCCGGATTCATTATAGAAAATGTTAAAATAAACCAAATATTAATTGTCAAAATAAATTCTAAGAAATCGTTAGTCTTCTATTAGTATGGATTTAAATACATATTGGTTTGAATTGTGTAATTAGTAAATACATCTATATTATAGCTTCGATTAATTTTAATTGACAAAATAAATTCAAATAAATTATTAGTCGAGTCTCTGTTTATTTCAATGCTATTTTAAAGACCTCGATTAGTACGGTTTTAAACAGTTATTGGCAACATCGATTATCCGCACTATGCGTGGTATTGAAAGACAGAAAAATATAAGTAAAAATTTGGAAGTGTAACGTTAATTTCTATTTCGTTTTTCAAAGACAATAAATAACAAACTCGACAAGCGAACCGAATTCTTCACAATTCGATCATAAATAATAACACCTACGAAGTTCTTCGCATAACAAACATTACGAGAAACGAATGTTATAATATTTCATAATGTCAATAGTGCAAAACTATTTGAAATATCCTTTAAATAATTTATAACCGGATTTCGTCTTCACATTCAAATGAATCGAGAAAATAACAAACATATAATTATTAATAATATATCAATCTTTCACAAAAAAAAAAAACAAAATTATTATAAAGCATTCATTTTTTTTTTCTTTTGACGTATTTCAAATGCAAATGAGATGTCAGAAGTGTCATTTCAATAATTTGATCATTAGTTTTTTTTCCATCTTCTGTTGACTTTTAGTATTAGTTTTTTTTTCTTTGATAAATTTAACATTTAAAAAAATGTATATTTATTTAATATAGACTGAATTTTGATTAGTATTTAAATTTACTCATTGTTTTGATGCATTAATTTAAGAAATTATTTGAAAAAATTGAAGAAAGTAAAAATTGTGTGTGTATTTAATTTATAGTTTAAATTACAATAGAATTCAATTATTTGAAGAAAAAAATATAAACATTGTTGAACGGATGTTGACCTTTCCTCATCCAGATTGTTGCAATACTTAACACTTATTTACGAGTAGTTGACTAATGCTTGCAACGTCGATTTCAATGTTAGGAATGGTAATATGAGTCTATTAACATATTTTTTTTTCACTTTTGGTGAGAAGACGATTAACAAATCCATATTGAAATTTATGCGTATTTCCAAAAAGGAGTGGAACGAAAAAAAAAAATTGTGTGTGTGTGTTAAAAGATGATACATTTTGAAGGTTGCCTTCTTGTTAAGGTTACAACATTTAATTTATTAACAAGCCAGAAGACAACATCCAACGCTAATACGAACATCTTTCATCATTCAATTAGTTCCATCCGCAATAAACTAGTATTTCTCTCAATATAAAATATGTTTAAAAACCTTCAATTAATTTGAGATTTGTTAATTTTAAAATTCATATCTTTGTTGTTGCTGTTATAAACTTGTTTATTACAAAAACAAAATCGTGACATTCTGTAAATTAATAGGTATAAATTTAGAGAAATAAGATAAAAATGGGAGACTCTTAAGAAATTTATTACTGAATGAAAACGTCTTGTAATAATTAATCATTGCGCAAATAAACAACATATGTATAAATATGAAATTGCATCATTTTATCGGATCTGTTATCGATCTGATGGATTAAAGGAATCCGAATCTTTAAATTTGTGACACACGCAAACTAGGATCTTTCTGTATCCTTGACATTTTCCAGCAAGGGGAAAGGTCATAAACCCAGTACATCTCTGTACTATTTTCTACTTTTTTTTGTCGTTTTTGAGCTCACAGTTTGGTAATATGCTAATCTCGGATGGGCGAGTTTTAATTCCTGTGAATTGATTATAGTTTTTTTTGGGTATTTCACGTGTTGCAATGATGATTTGAAGGATCATTTATTTATTGTATTTATGCTGTTTTTAGTGTATTAATTATTTGTTTTTCTTTGCTTTGCAGCGGTTAGTGACATTTTTGGTTGTTGCTGCTCCGCTGTTGCTGCTTTCAGCGGTGACAGCCGAGAAGGAGAAGAGGGCTGTTTCTTCGTTCTCCAGTCCGAATAACATTTTCGGCTCGCAGCAAGGATACAACTATGATTCTCCGGGTTACAATTATCCAAAGCCCGAGATTCCTTTCGAAACGCGCACAACTAGGTTCATTGTTACTACTCAGAGGCCGACTACTCCTAGACCTACCACCAGGCCACCTCCGCCACCATCTCCAAAGGTTGTCGGATACGATTACCCAAAGCCTGTAATCCCTTTTGAGACGCGCACTACCAGGTTCATTGCTACCACCCCAAGACCAACGACTCCTAGGCCAACCACCACAAGACCTACTACCAGGAGACCACCTCCACCACCATCCCCAAAGATCGGTTATGATTACCCAACGCCTATTATCCCTTTTGAGACGCGCACTACCAGGTTCATTGCGACCACTCCAAGACCAACAACTCCAAGACCAACGACTCCTAGGCCAACCACTAGACCTACCACCAGGAGACCACCTCCACCACCATCCCCAAAGATCGGTTATGATTACCCAACGCCCATAATCCCTTTTGAGACGCGCACTACTAGATTCATTGCTACCACTCCAAGACCAACGACTCCAAGACCAACCACCAGACCTACCACCAGGAGGCCTCCACCACCACCATCCCCAAAGATCGGTTACGATTATCCAACTCCAAAAATCCCTTTTGAGTCGCGCACTACCAGATACATTGTGACAACTCCAAGACCGACAACACCACGACCAACTACTCCGAGACCTACAACCAGAAGGCCACCTCCACCAACCCCCAAGATCGGTTACGATTATCCAACACCCCCAGTTCCTTTTCCATACACCACGAAGACAACGACCAGGAGGCCAGTTCCAACCACCACTAGGCCACGCACCACCAGATCCATCACGACCAGGAGGCCACCACCACCAATCACTTACTTGCCACCAGTTACTACCACCAGAAGACCACCACCACCCCCAATCACTTACTTGCCACCAGTGACAACTACCAGAAGACCACCACCACCACCAATCACATACTTGCCCCCAGTCACTACCAGGAAACCAACTACTACCACCAGAAAACCAACTACTACCACCAGAAAACCAACCACCACTACCAGAAGACCACCACCACCACCAATTACCTACTTGCCTCCAGTTACCACGACGACCAGGAAGCCATACACTCCCGCACAGACCGTTACCAAAGTTTACACGGCACAAACGTTCACCACCAGGAGACAAACTCCACCAAACTATTATTTACCACCTGTCACAACCACCAAGAGGCCACCACCGCCACCAATCACTTATTTGCCACCAGTGACCACTAGGAAGCCAACAACAACCACCAGAAGACCAACCACCACAACCAGGAGACCACCACCACCACCAATCACCTACTTGCCACCTGTAACCACTACCAGAAGACCACCACCTCCACCAATCACCTACTTGCCACCAGTTACAACCACCACCAGAAGACCAACCACAACCACCAGAAGACCAACCACAACCACCAGAAGACCACCACCACCACCAATCACCTACTTGCCTCCAGTAACCACAACCACTCGTAGGCCACCAACGACCAGACGTCTGACTCCACCACCAAACACCTATTTACCACCTGTGACCACCAGAAAGACCACCACCACTCCAAGACCAACCACCAGAAGGACCACCACCACCCCAAGACCAACCACTAAGAGACCGACTGTGAGGAACACTTATCTGCCACCCGATACCGGCTACAGATCAAACGTCAACACTTATTACGCCTTCTAAATTTAGTTATTACAATTGTATTTATTGTGTTCCACCTGTCTCACTATCAAAAAGTGTTACTACTATAAAAACATAATGACTATTATTAATTCGACGACCTGAATAAAAATGTTTTGCATATAAGATTGATATACTACTACTTCATTGATTGCTGTATAATGTAAATAAAATACCTACATAAAAGTGTTTTCGTCTTAATAATTATTAACTAAAACAGATCAACATAAATAAATATACCGACTTTATCAACAATGTTATACTTATTTCTAATTAATAAGTATTATCAGTTTAATTAACTTTTGGTATCTAAGTTTATTTGAAGTTTTCTGTTTGACACATATCGAACAAACTAATTTTTCTCGTTGTTACCATACATATTCAAATATTGACAAAACTTTTACATATACCGTCTCGCTCGTCTAAGCATTTCTGTCGCAAAAGCAAAGATGCCTTTCAGGAAGAACCACAAGAACAATTCTAACATCCACACGACTCTTTACGATCAACATGTCGTCATTGTCCCGCCGCCTCCACCAAGGTAAATCAATTCTTGTAAAAACTTTCAATTGAGTTAATTTAACAAATGTTTAGATTCACCATAACAGAATGGTACCTGAACAATCGGCAGAGGTACAGGGCTTGCGACGATCAGCAAGCCCTGGCCGACAAAGTTCTTGCGGAATCGGATCGGGTCAGGGAGCAAACCGACGAGGAAACCAAATTGAATAAGCGAGAGGTTGACCATCATCTCGGGCAAAAGATACAGGACATCGAGTTTATGAAAGGGGAGATCGACAAGCAAAGAAAAGAAGTTGTAAAAGAGATGGACAATCTGACGCTGTACGCTGATAGAATAAACGATGCGGTGCGCTGCATCGACGAGTGCTACAATATATGCAAGAAGTGCATCATAATGCGCGAAGTCAGATTGGGAATTGATTTGGTAAAGTAAGTTGATGTAGCGATCTGATAATAATTGATGAAAAATATTTGTTTCAGTGCCACGACGATGTTGAAAGGGAGCTGCTGAAAGAAAGGGACGTTATCGAGGGCGCAAAAGCGCTCTTAACTCGAGATCTTCAGCAATCCAACGAGCAATTGCGGCGTTTACGAATGACCGTATACTTTATGGACAGAGATTTAGAAGATAAATGCAACGTGCTCAAAATCGATGAACACAATTTGGGGTTGAGAGAAGACTCTTTAAATCTCAGCATGTACCATGGATTCTGTCCGCTAGATCCAGCGTAATTAATTTAATTAAATCAGTTAATTAAGCAATTACTAAAATATATTTTTTAGCTCAATCACTGCAGAAGAGTGGGAACAATTTTCGAAAACGAGCATAGAGAATGGAGCCAAAGAAATAAACAGCGCAAGATTGTTAAGATCCTACGTTGATACCATTATAAATCAGGCGATGATGGATCTGAAGAATCAGTACCACGTCGTGAACGATGCTTTCCGTCGGCGCATCGAGGAAACGAAGGAATGCAAATCGAAAATGGAAATTCAGCATGCAGAGGTAATCAATCTTTATATGTGATTCCTTTATATAATTTTCGGGTTTAAGGTTGTGCGGCAAGTGAACGAGATAACCAGATCGTTGACCCGTTTGCAAAAGTCTATGGCGGAGAAGGAAGGTTTCATGGCTTTGGCGCATACGCGTTTAGGGAACAGGGCGCAAAGACCCGGTATGGAATTGTGCAGGGATTTGGTTGAAACCAATTTAGTGAAAGAAGTCACCGAACTTCGGTACAACGTATCCAGATTGCAACAAATGATGGCTGAGGTTAATTATTATATTATCCTAATTATACATGAAAGAGTTAAGCAACTTTCTTTTGATGCTTTAGGGCCAAGCTTCGATGCGGTATTTACTGAAGACTCAGATACAACTCGAGGAAGACATCAACATTAAAACGAACACTCTGAAAATCGATGAGGTGGATTGCATGACTTTGAGACAAAGCATGAACTATCAAAATTACTAAATACATAAAGTTTGTTTTTTGCATCAAATTATCGTCACAGTAGAATAGTACAATTCATATCACGAATAAATTACAATCAACCAAGATATATATTGTATTTTCTTCTTCATAACACATTAAAAATTATATTACAAGATATAAATATATTAAGTATAATAAAAAAAAGCAAATATATGTAAACAACACGAAGAGATTGAAAATTGTCAACAAAAAAAATCTCCTGGTACCTAAACCTAAAATGCAACTTCATAAATTAAGGCACAACATCCATCGTCCGTGCTGTTTACGCAAAATGTAACAAATAATAATATAAATAAACTAAACTAACTGAAAATCATGAATGAAAAACATGTGTGTCATAACAAGTATAAACACGAACTTTTCCTACTAATTATGAAACAGTAATCACATAGTTGAACGTTACGAAGCGCAGCGCAAAGGCAAAATTTAAAAAAACTAACCGTTCGTTAATTAATACTGAGCATAATTTCCCTGTGCAATCGCTCAAACAACAGAATGGGATCGTTTTTCTATCCTAAACGGATCTGGATTTAGTTGTGTATTGCAGATGCAAAACTGTTGCATGAGCTTACTTTTTCTTGGGCTCTCTTACTGGCTTATTGAGATCATTGAGCGATTGCAGCGGTTTCGTTAGTTTCGTCGGTTTCCTCTGGGTGAGCAAAGACGGCGTCCAACTGAAGGCAGAAGACGTCGATGGAAATACTTCTGAAATACGAGAATGTAAATAATAAACAATGCATTTTTTTTTTTAAATTTTAAATTTACCCATCAATCCTGCCATAGATACGTCGATGGGTGGCGAAGCGCTCATGGTAGGACGGGCGGTCGCGAATATCGTCCGACCCCCACTCGTTGAAGCTGCATTTTGATTAGTTCTTTTCTTATCCCTCGATACCTTCCTCTGTTGCTCGAGCTCGGGATATTGGATCGATCGGAATATCGATTCCAAAGGACCGATGCCGGATTCCTGCAATTGTAACCAGTTATAACCTGCACGAATTCGTACACCTTCATAATCATTCTTGTTACAGTCATCTTACCTTACAAAATTGGTTAATTGGGACAGTCTCTGTCCAGGAATCCATATTATGTGTATTTGGTTTTTGCCTCGAATGCCTTCTAATCTTTGCCACCTCAGAGTTTTCTAAAATAAACAAGTTAATTTCCAGGCAATTTTGTTGACGTAACAAAACATCTACCGGAAATCGGCGAATCCGATACATTGAAGTTGTTCAAATTGTATTCCGGTGATGCGTTTAATTCCAAGAGTTGTAGAAGTGTTGGAGAACCGTTCAAATTGTTTCTATCTGCAAATAGATAGAATGCTATGTAAGTATGACTTATGTCAATGAAAAACTGTATGGCACGAACTTTGAGGCTCCGGACTTGCCAGGAATGAAGTATCCAAATCCGGGAAACGCTTCACTTTGTTCGTATGTGATAGAACATTGTTTTTCTTTGGTGAACTATGACGCAAAGGTATTCCTTGTGCCATCGAGAGCTCCGCATATTCCACATCGTTCTCACCTAAAAAGAATGAATTTACACATTACACATTAGTAAATTGATTCTCTTTAGGATCTTATAATATTTTAGTTTCACATTTATTGCATATAATATTAAAAATCTTATAAATGAAATGAATGCAATCACAAGACATTATTTAGTTTATAGTCACAGACTAAAAATTTATTCAGAATCTATAGTGAAGAAATTTAAGTGCGAGTCATGACGATGAACTCTGTATTCAGTAACTTAGGATGACGAGGTAACGGTAGGTTCGCCGCTCTCTAAATGAAGATCTTTTTCGGCCACCTTGTCTCCGGAATCTGGCGCATTATTTGACTCTAAGGTTAACAAAATGTCATCTCCATATCCATTACCTTCAATACACAACAAATCTTTGATAACTTAAAAAAAATTTAACACATGCGTACTTTGTCTTGAGATTTGTACCTAATTTAAGACTGAATGTGATCAAAAAAAGAAAGAATCTTACCAGACATAGTTTCATTATCGACGTCGTTTTCGTCGTTCATATTATCCTCAAAGATAATATCCATTTCAGTCTCACTGAGATCGTCCTTTACCGAAAATTATATAATAAGAAACTTATTTTAAACTTTTATAGCAGACTTACAGATTCACTGCTATTAGAACTAATTGTCAAATTTGCAGTGGGATTCAGTAAATTTGGAGAACTCAAAGATACACCGAGTCCGAGCAACTGTCTCGGCGTGGACATACTACTACTCTCGGCAACTTCCTCCTCTTCGTTATTCACAGAAGTTTTATTCAAAATTTGAGTTTGCGTAGAAGACGAAGACAATATACTCGTGTTACTACCCTCTAGGGCAGTCGCGTTGCAATGGCCAATCTCAGTATTAGAAGCACGGTTTCCTTTTGGTGGTATAAGGACCATAGAACATCCAGCAGTGGTCGAATTGTTCTTTGTGGCCACTTGCTGAGTGTTTGTCGATGCAACGTTTGTTTCCATATTGCTTCCAGCAGCAAACGGCTGCTGTACATTTCCCGATTCCGCAACATCTTGAGGATTACTAACCAAATTAGCTGCAGCCACAGCATTCCTCGAAATTTCAGCTGCCAATCTCTAACAACAAATATACGGTTATAATTTCATTGACTTAACTATATTTTGTTTAAATTACTTCTTTAGACTCGTTAATTTGAGATATGTACTGGTTCTGCACAGTTTGCAATTGATTAATGTACCATTGCTGGTCTCTGCATCTTTGGTAGAAGGTAGGTGCTCGCACTTGGAACCTGTAATTTAATTTTATATAAAATATACTAAAATATTGTTTGTGCTTTCTAGTTTACCTTAGCACTAGCGTATCCAAAGGCACGTTCAAGTATCCTTCACTGGCCAACAGATCTAAACGGAAAAACCTGTTGTAACCCCAACACTCGCCCACTTCAAAGTCGGAAGCAAATTCGCGGACGATATTCTTTGAAGAATCTCTGCTTGCTTGGTGCACCATTTCCACGCGATATTCGTATCTAATAATTTAAAAACTCAATTATATAAGCAATTTGAGAAGCGTGCAATAATAATTACTTGGAAGTCTCTGGGTATCCTGCGCTTAACTCTAGGAACACTGAGAGGTAATTGCCTCTAACAACACCGTTACCATCGGGGTAAACCTTCAATCTCCAGCATAAACCGTTACAATGCAGCGGCGTAGAATAAACGGGATCGGCTTTCCTTTGAAGTTGCGAGAAGCCGTGCATTAAGAACGTACTGCTATCGTAGCTTGGTACAATCTCACTAAATAAGTAAATAAAATAAGTTATTTAATTTACAATATGTTAATTAGAAAGATTACCTATGGAAATCTGCTGGAACTGGCGCAGTTACAAAACTAGTCATTGGCTTCTTGCGGATGGCATGGATCATCCGCGATAAATCCCCACTTTTGGTGATTAGCTCAGATCTGCTGCAAGTATGCAATTGATGCTCAATTTCATGGAGCAAATGTTCAAGTTGTTCAGTTTCCTAAAAATAAAGAAATTATTAAATGTGAACTTTTTTTTTAATTCAATTAAATCACCTGAGTTAACGAATCCTTTTGACCCATGAGCGTCAACAACTTCGTCTTCAACTGAGAATCCAATCTAGCTATCATAAGCTCAACGGCATTCCGAATCTCCCTTACCCTTTCGTCCTTTGCCAATCTAACAGATTCCACGTTCCTTTCCTACGATTAACCATGTTGCAAAATTACAAAATTAAGTCATTTTACAGCGTACCACTTCTTGTACGATGCTGATCAATTCCATGAGGCGACGTCTTAATTGCGCGACTTCGTCTTTAATTTGTGTGATGTGCTGTTCGTAAACCTCTTCAAGAGGTTTGAAGGTGTGTCCGGAATGGGTTCCGCCCCAAAGCGCGCATTGGTGGCAGATGCAACAACGGCACGTCCAGCAATAAACGGATAATTTTTCGAAATGCGTCATACACCTTGAGGAATCAAGAATAAAATGCTTAAGTTTCAGAATGTAATTATTGTGTTGAATATTATTACTTGTCACGGTCGCCATCCTCGGCTCTTGTAGAAGTCAGAGAAACGGCCTGCAAACAATCCAACTGTTGGGTCACTTCCTCCACCCACCGGCAGTTCACCAGCTCGTGAAGATGCAGGGATGCCCGGCAATGCGGACACTGCGATCGCTGCTCTGTCAACCAACGTCGGATGCAGACGTAACAGCATAGTTTCGAGCAGTGAGGACACAGGTGCGCGTCGCGCAATTTTTCCATACAGATGAAGCATCGAAAGACCTCGGCGAGCGTCTGAAAAGAAAATATAATAACAACATTTAAATCCAATTTGTGGCGTTCGGTGAAATAAATAATCTAATCTGAACTCACGGATTCAGACGAATTAGACCAACATTGGGGGTTCATGGTTTTCTGATAGTTCATAGCCTCAGCGCGAAATCTATCCTATGTGTAAATCGTAACTTCAAATTTTGACTGTACGTTCAATTTTTTCCCGCAATTCGCCGAAATAACTGTGACATTTGATTTTTTTTCACGCTCACCTCATGCAAAACAAAAACAATCATCAATGCTAAAACGATCCCAAACTAAGACTTTTATATTCCTTACAATTACAAGTAAAATTCTAAAAATCCAATTTTTTTTTTAAATTAAATTACTAATAAAGCTTATGGTATTAATTCCAAAAGTTGTGTTTAATTTCTAACGAGAGTGCGGATATAACAAAGAAACTGCGGTGTTTTTGGTTTATTGATGAAATCAACTGAAACATATTGAAATAAACAAAGCAAATTTAATGAAAGAACAAAAAAACAACAAAAAAAAGTTGTTCAGTTCAGGATGCGTAATTACAATTGGATGTGGTTACGTGCAATTTATATTTAGAGCAGAAAGCCTACAAATTATTCGGAGAAACCGGTGGTAATTAAACACCGTAATAGAAATAAATCGAATACATTCGTTTTTTTTTTAGAAACTACTTTTTCAGTGAAATTAGATTAATGGTTAATTGCTCTAGAAATCCTCCTCTTTTATAAAATTTCATTAAAACAAAGAAGAATTTTGAATGTAACACGTTAACAATTCCAATGGTTGATAAACAAGAAACTTTATAATAACTTTTCGAAATAAGATGTACTTTTTTTAACGTTTTGATATAGAAGTAATAGCTTTATTTTAAAAGATACCTACAGGAATTTTAAGGGAATTCCAAGAATTTAAAAAAATGCCATTTAAATTTTGTAAATATTAACGTGACACTAATTTCTATCCTTAAATTAGTAGATTAAGGAGAGTAATTTTTTTAATAATTTTTTTTTATTATGGAAATTATGATATTATTTTCATATAAAGGTTAACATTATAATCTTGATTAAACAAAGAGCTTTATTCCAAAAAGGTAAATATGCTAATGTGACCCTGTTGATTCAGGGATTTCATTGGAAATACCCAACAATAAACTTTGTTTATGTGACTAAGAGAGGTAGGATGTTGATTTTTCTTTGTTGTTGTGTTTAAATTGTCTTCAACAAATAACGCAAATACCAAAGTAATAAAACTGTTGATAAGTTATGTTAACATTTTGTTATCATATTTACTATAATCAAGTGCACTGATTAACATTCAGTTATCAGTATAGTTGGGTAAAAACAAAATCAATACACGTACTATTGATAAAACAAATAGAGGAGGAAACTTAAAATTTCCATATTGTGTCTGCAGCATAGAAAGAACCTACCGGTAACAGGAAACAAAAGAATCTCGAGCAGAGGATACGAGCGATGTGCCCCATTTGTTTACATGTCGAGCATAAATTAAAAAGTTTACTAACCTCAACCGAATGGTCGTCGTTCTTGTTGCCACTTCCTGACTTTCCTCTGGACGTCATGGTGACAGACAACCAACAAGTTCTTTGGATCGACAAGTCAGAGGAGAGAAGATCACACGAAGAGCATGAAGATCGCACTGCTAATTTACCATCGTCCTCTCTTCCTTCTGGTCCTTCCTCTTCTTTATTTCTGTCTTTGTACCTTCTTCTTCTTTACAGGAGACTCGTGTCCAAAACAAAAACGCAACGAACTTTCAACGGATCCAACCGAACACCCACATTGGCCGAAAACAAAACAAAACCGTTCGCAGCTCCAAGGTGAAAAAAATCCTACCTACTAACGGATCGCGACCGTGACACCTGTCAAACAAGGCGGAAGATTCGCGAACTATACCACAGCTGATTTTTTCCTTTTAATTATTTTACATGTTATAGGCAACTTCTTATACATGATTGTACTTGAGATCCTTGAGATGCAATATTATATACAGGGAGTAGTTTTAAATTTAAGTCCTAAAGCATTTCGCTTAACGAGCAAAAATAATTGTAAGAAAAATGATTCGCTTAACGAGCAACGTTTCGCATAACGAGTGACGATGAGAAGAGAAATCCCGGATTGCGCGTCTTCTACATCCTTTTTAAAACTTGTGTACACATATTATGTGTATTTATGAATATGTTTCAAAATCCGCAAATTTTGGAACGGATGAAACTCATTAAGTGAGGTTCCACTATATACATATAGGTAGAGGCTCTTCCAAGAGGGAAGAAGAGGAGAAAAGTAAACATTTATTACGGATTTCAAACTTAGTTGGAGGTGTAGTTTACATACATTAATTTCTTCACATTATTTGACGAAAATATAATTGCAATTCTTTACTTTACTCATGCCATCATAATTAAATAGTTTGTCTACTTATAAATCTTTTTTGTTTTAAGCAATAGAACTGCTTGAACTATATAACTTCTTTCAATTCTCACTAGTATTTTCTAACTTAACCCTGTGATTCCATTTGGAATCATTAATATTTAAATACAATTTCGACGATTAAAACTGTTGGATGCAACTAATGTAAATTGAAGCTAGATGTATTTTTAACAGTAGATAATATTGAATAATGATAAAAAAAACAGCTTTTATAAAGATTTGAACAAAAAAAATTGGGTTGAAAAGGGTTAAATTCAATGAATTTATATATTTTTTTCATTCAAAAACACAAAATTGCATAAGATCTACTGTATAACTTCTTAGAATTTTTTAATAACATCTTCAAAACAGAAAAAAAAACTTACAATTATTAATTAAATATTTATACTTATAAATTCTGTCATATAAGCAAGGTATAATAAAATAAGAAGTAGAAGAACTGGATTCGAGCTCTACAAATTTGACTTTCTTTAATTAATTGAAATAAATGTACGTTTTTATCATTGTTGTTGATGATGAGGAGTAGTAAAGGAATGTCTTTCAAACATTGATACTTGACTTACTTGCATTGCACGAACTAAATTCTAAATTAACTTGACTTGATGTGTGTCAAATACAACAAAAGATTTGATCGTGCACAATTAATGTATAAAGGGGAAGGCAATTTGAGAATTTTCTTTAAAATTATAAAGAGCGCACACACGTTACGACGCTTTAGTGGGTCGAAGAAGAAGATGGGCATCAATGAATTCATTTCGTCCGTGCGTGCATTGTTGTCTATAAATAGAGTGATTCCAGTGTAAAAGAGTTTCAGAGCAAGCCGTGTGCGAGAAATTTCTAAATAATCTAATTATGGATACAAAGGACGCACAGAACTGTGAATTCTTCTCCCCCCTTTCCTTTGGGAACGCAACGATCCGCTCGGAAAATCCGTAGCGTACAATATAAAAATGTGTGCACATTTTATATTATTTATTTTATTTTTTTCCCACTAATTATTTCACTATAAACAAAAACTTAATGCACACCACATCAAAAGAAATTTTAACAATTCAATTGTTTAGAATGAAAGAAACATTTGTTTTTTTTTTAAATTATTTATTTATAAACGTAATCTGTAATTAAGAAGTTTATATGGACTGTAAAAGTAATAATTGTAGATTTGTTAAATAAAAGATAATTATATTATTTATTTTATTTTTTCTCAATAATTATTTCACTATAAACAAAAACTTAATGCACAACACATCAAAAGAAATTTTAACTATTCAATTGTTTAGAATGAAAGAAACATTTGTTTTTTTTTTAAATTATTTATTTATAAACGTAATCTGTAATTAAGAAGTTTATATGGACTGTAAAAGTAATAATTGTAGATTTGTTAAATAAAAGATAATTATATTATTTATTTTATTTTTTTCTCACTAATTATTTCACTATAAACAAAAACTTAATCCACATCAAAAGAAATTTTAACAATTCAATTGTTTAGAATGAAAGAAACATTTGTTTTTTTTTTAATTATTTATTTATAAACGTAATCTGTGATTAAGAAGTTTATATGGACTGTAAAAGTAATAATTGTACATTTGTTAAATAAAAGATAATTATATTATTTATTTTATTTTTTCTCACTATAAACAAAAACTTAATGCACATCACATCAAAAGAAATTTTAACAATTGAATTATTTAGAATGAAAGAAACATTTGTTTTTTTTTTAATTATTTATTTATAAACGTAATTTGTAATTAAGAAGTTTTTATGGACTGTAGAAGTAATAATTGTAGATTTGTTAAATAAAAGATAATTATATTATTTATTTTATTTTTTCTCACTAATTATTTCACTATAAACAAAAACTTAGTGCACACCACATCAAAAGAAATTTTCACAATTCAATTGTTTAGAATGAAAGAAACATTTGTTTTTTTTTAATTATTTATTTATAAACGTAATCTGTAATTAAGAAGATTATATGGACTGTAAAAGTAATAATTGTAGATTTGTTAAATAAAAAATAATTAAAAAAAAATAACTCTCGTGGCCCTTTTTCTGCCCCCTTTTGGTGCTTATCAATCTCTAGAAATTTTTGTTGTTGTTGAGATTCGAATTGTGAACTTTTGTATCGAATTGGCTTTGATTTAGTTTGTTTGAAATTGGAATGAAGGAGAAGCTGCAAGTGTTGCCTAGGTTTGCACAGCGCGCTCAGATGTAGTAACTGGAATAAAATTCAAATCTGTACCAGCGATGCGATATTTAATTTATTGCTATGAATTCCCTAAATATTCAATGATTGCAATGTTTTAGAACAAAAAAGTTGTTGGTTTTTTTTTAATATGCGAATTATTTCAATGTGTTATATAAATCAGAAGACATTATTATCAGGAGTGTTGATGGTTGTAATTTGTGGCGCGCGCGTTATGTAATTCACATATAGATATAGAGAGTTATTAACGAGTCCATGTCGCGAGATTGGATGTTGTTGTTACATAAGTAGGCCGGTTTCTTCAGTGTGTCGTGTCGCATCCGCGCGTGCAAGAAGTCAAACAAAATAACGTTTCGCTCTTTGGTCGAGTCGAGTGGACGTGTGAAATTGTAAAAAGTTTTCGGTAGTAGTAGTAGTAAACTATCGACGCCGGGGGTGCAGGCGTCGCGTGCGAAACGCGTCGGAAAGTTGCGAAGAAAGCCGAAATGACAGGTGGTTTCGGGCTTAACTACCTTCAAAGAGCTGCAAGTGAAACATTCAGTTCTAGAATTCACCTGGTACAGAGCGTTTCATCCCCCTTCAGCAATCGATAAACCAAGCGCTACGCCGCCTGCATTCGATTAACCAGAGTTTCAGCGACACAAAAAAATATATTACAATAATAACAAAAAAAACTTGATTAAAGTACGAATAAAGTGAATCCTCTTCATTGGAAGACGTTTCTTGATACTTCTCGCAAACTGCGGCAAAATGCCAAGGAATTATTATGCGAAGCTTTCGATTTGATTCGGTCGCGAGGGAAAAGCGCGTTTTTTGGGGACAAGAAACAGCAGCAGTGGTGTGAATTGGGACAAGAAAAAAATTATTTTTTTTTAAATAATCTAAAGTTAAGAAGCGATGATGAATAACCACCGGAAGTCGTCCGGATGCAATGGACCAATTCAAATGAGTGACGTTTCCGTTATAGACAATTGGAAGGACGCTGCGAACAACGGGTATTTGAAATCGGGCGCCGTCGAGGAGAGCGTCGGTCCACTCCTAGGGACCAGCGGCCCGGTTACCACCGTCGTCCAGGTTTCCGGTTCCGGTGCACGAACCATGGTACTGCCGGGAAGGTCGAACTACGCGAAGCAGAAGTGTCTTCTGATTGCCCTTCTCGCTTTATCATTGATAACAGGCGTCGCACTTCTCATGCTTATTAACGTCAGCGACACTTGCAGCTCTACCGGTAAGTTAACAATTGCTTCAAAAACAAATACTTAAATACTTCCTACACATTTCTCTTCTATAATATTTATTTACGACAACTTCAATTAATAAAATACATTTATAATATTCTCATGTTTTCCTATTATTTTAATTCAATCAACGTCGATAAAAAAAATCCATGTACAGGTTCCGTTCCAAAGGGTTGTACGTAAGTCGAATTTGTTCGTAAGTCGGGGGAATTTAAAAAAATTAACTTAACCACACTTTATCATGGTTTTTACTTTTATATATGTTAAATTCCGTATAATTCCTGACTGCATAAATTTGAAGAAATACATTAAAATAAACAAAATACTTACAAATACTTTTTCAATGTAGACACGACAATTATTTAATAAAAAAAAACGACAAAAGAAACAAATGCAACAAGAAATTATTAATTTTTTTTTGGTCAGTTAATTTTTGTTATCACTATATATCTTCTTGTAATAAGTTAGAGCTTTTAGAATTTTGTTCGTAAGTCCAAGAGTTCGTAAGTGGGGGTTGATGTGTAATTATCAGGCGTTTTTAAAAACAATATTTATTATGAAAAATGAAACATAAACATTTTCAAATAACATTTTTAAATGATTATTCCTAAGCGTAGTCACTTCAATAAATGCTTTACCTTTGTAAATAATAGTTTTATTGAATAAATATTAAAAAACACAGCAATTTCATTAACAAAACGCCTGATAATTATGCACCAACCCAATATATTTGTCTTAATTTTTAAATTCCTATAGGGTTTTATCAGAAATACGACAAGAAACACATATAATCAATTGATTCAACAACAAACAATTTTTTTAACATTCTTCTGATTCCTATTATTTACATTGTTATTATCAAATACATTTATTTAATAGAGATTATAGAGATTAAGAAAAAAAAACATAACAAATTGCTTCAATAATAAAATTGAGATTTATTTTTGATTGTTGGAAATTCACTACTTTCTAAGTTATTTCGACATTAATTGAGTTAATTAATTGCACTTGTTATCTTTAATTGTAATTAACTATATTGTAATTAATTTGGGACCGCCTCAATATAAATAAGCAAATAAATTAATTAATTAATTTGACAATTAATAAGATTTTTTCTTGTTATTGCAATTATTAAAAACAATTTGACTTACATTAATAATAAATACACTCTGTATACTAATTGAAGCAGGAAAATCGATCTGAACAAGATTCTTCTTTGAGTCGATTTATGTACTTGCAATTTAATTTAAACAATTTACTTTAATTATAGAACGTATATAAAATGCATTTATTCATGAAATTATTACTTAAAATCTTCTAAATAAGTGTTGAAGCTTCTGGTAAATGTCCCAAGAATATCTTATATGATCCGATATGGTCTAGTGGCTAGGATACCTGGCTTTCACCCAGGAGGCTCGGGTTCGATTCCCGGTATCGGAATTCTTTTGCTGAGTGAACTAAAATTATATAATTTTAATTACAAATACAATCGATAATAATTATATTGTTTTAATATGTATTTGAGCACTCTTAAAAACGAATTCCAATATTAAACATGCATCATTTTCGAAATGTAGATAAGTTTATTTTGCTTTGAGCTTAAGAGTTTGGAGTGTATTGTTTATGTTAAGACAAACTATTATCATATAATCCAAACACCATAGATAATTTCAATAGACTTCTTAGAAATTTTTAATCATTAACACTTAGTAATATAAACTGTGAAATTAGTTATTATCAGTTAAATAAACTAATATTTTGTCTGTTGAAACAAAGAAATACAATCAATTTTATTATAACAAACTATTTAACAATAATAAACAAAATTTGAAATGCAAATTGTTTATTTAATTACAAAGTACAAAATGTATGTAATTTTTATAATTATTTTAGTTGTTAGTTGTAAAAATTATGTTGTAACTAAATAAGTATAGGTAAATATTTAATTTCATTATTTGTTATCCAACAAATTTATCTGATTTCTGGAGTTAATTTTCTTGCAATATTTTTGAAATAACTACATAAATTAAAAATAAACATTAACTACGAAATATTGAAAACAAATTAAAAAAAAATAAAATTCCGACTACCACAATCCCGACAATCAAAATCCCGACTATATCGAAATCCCTACAGTGACTTTTATTATTATAAATTTCTACAATAATATTTTTATGGTAGTCGGGATTTCGATATATTCGGAATTTCGATATAGTCGGGATTTTGATTGTCGGGATTATGGTAGTCGGAATTTTAATACAGCCGGGATTTTGATACACTCGGGCTTTCGAACGTCTGGATTTCATATATTTCAATATTTATTGAAATATAATGAATTACAAAGTAATTAAAAAGTAGTGGGAAACCGTAGTCAAGGATAAGACGGCATATGGATTTGTATATGGATGTTTGTCACTTTATGGATATTTCGGAGTTACGAAAGGTTAAGGAACGGAAATGACGGGATCTGGATTTAATTTTGGATTTGAGTTGTTTGGAATGGGTAAAGGATATTATTACGTATTTATAGCATTTATAATTAATGAAATAATTACATGAATAAAAGGGAAACATAAATAACGAAGTTATCAAAAAAAAAATCATAATGTTATGTATCTATGTTAGTTTCAAATTAATAAATGTATCTTTAAGTAAATATTTCAAGTAATTCCAATATCAGGAATGAAAATATTCGTTTGCTTAATAACATTAACATTTTTTATTTATTTACAAATCTATGTTAACACTCATTTCAAGCAAATGTCTTAAGTCTTTCAAATTTTATATTATTAACTTTAAGCTTATTTTCATAATTCAATTATATGGGTCTATATCACAAGCACGACAACCGAAAGGCCGTCTATTGAAATCCCGACGTTTGAAATCTCGACTATATCAAAATCTCTATAACCATAATCCCAACTGTATCAGAATCTCGACAACCATAATCCAGACAAACATAATCCCGACTATATCAAAATCCCGACTATATCGAAAATTTTTACAATAACATTTTTACATTGCTATACTTTTATTAACAATATATTATTATTAATTTATTTGATTTCACTGAATTGTTCATAATAAACCTTAACATCTCAAATACAATTAGATTATTAATTGTTATTAATTATTATTAATAACAATTTAAAAGTGACTACGCTCCGGAATAATTTAAAAATGTTATTGTAGACATTTTCGATATAGTCGGTATTTTAGTTGTCGGGATTTTAATATAGTCTGAATTTTGATATAGTCAGGATTATGGTTGTCGGGATTTCGAACGTCGGGAATTTGATTGACGATATTTCGGTTGTCGGGCTTGCGATTACCACCGGAATTATATAATATGGATTATCCAAACATACACATTTACACACAAAGAAAAATAAATATTGAAATTTATATTAAAATTAAAAGAATTCATAACAAAACAATTATGAATACTTGTGTATATAATTATAATTACATAATTTTGGTTCATTAAATAGTTTTTTGGCAAAAGTATTCCGATACCGGGAATCGAACCCGAGCCTCCTGGGTGAAAGCCAGGTATCCTAGCCACTAGACCATATCGGATTTATATATAATTTTAAGCACTAAATTGATTCACATTCAACGAAGAATTACGTAAATTCCTTTCTAATTATAACCGAATTAAATTTAGCCTTTAACCCTGTAGTTCAAATTTATACAATCTTTCATATAAGTCCGATATGGTCTAGTGGCTAGGATACCTGGCTTTCACCCAGGAGGCTCGGGTTCGATTCCCGGTATCGGAATTCTTTTGCAATTATTACCTAAAAAAAAGAATTCATTATTAACAATTATTAATTGTAATTAATTATTATGCATAATTTCATGTGTATCATATTATAACATTTTGCGATGGTTAATAATTAGAATTATTGCAATAATCATAATTAAAAAGTAATTAATTAATATAAAATCAAATTTGTTGTATTAACTTTGTTTATAACTAAAAATGAAGAATATTTTTAAAACAAGATTATTATTATGTAACTTTTACAATGATTTATGTATAATTATGAGAATTATAATCTAATTTTCTTGTATCTTAGAATAAAGCAAACTTTGTGTAAGCTGAGATTACAGGAAATTAGTTAATATCATTATAGAAAGCAATGCATTTCATCCATTTAAGGACCTTAATCAGGCCCTTGGATTAAGGTCAGTTATAAATCGTACTGGTTATGCCGTAATCCTTTCAACTTGGAATATAACGAAACAGCTTTCGGTTATTGATGAATGTTTGACCGCAAAATCCGGATTGCTGAATTTAATTTAATAAAAAAAAAATAAAACAAAACTTTAAACGTCGATATAATTTCTTAACGTTGCTTTTTTTTATAACTGCAACGAGTTTTATACATTTTCATCTGAAAATTTACCCCCTCGGCATTATAAAAATGGACATTACGCAATCCCCGATAAGTAACTATCAATATTAGCATACCGTAATACATCGTTGACAAACGCGTCTCTCGCTAAATCAATATTTAGTATGAATTAGTCCAGAAGAAGCATCGGCGACACACAAACAATACCACTGCTGCACAGTTATAATTGAACTTCGCCCATTTGCACAGTTTATGATTAATTAAATCGATTATTACGTGCTGACAGTTTCAATTGACGCATAAAACAAAGACAATTGAATTTAATTCATTTATTTTTGTTTGCAGTCTTTGATTAAATATATTCAAGTTTTGTACTAAGTTACAAACAAATTTTTTTTTTTCCAATATATAGTAATACCTCGCAGAGTGCGGACTGTTTGAAATAAACGGCTTGACAAAACTTGTATAAAGTGAAAAAAAATTGTATAACATTATTTATGTACATATAAAAATAATACTGTGTATTCATTTGTTAGAAGCGACTTAATAAAACTTAAAATACTCATCAAATTATTTATGTATAAAAAAAATATTTTTATTTTGCTCAATATCCGGATTGATCGAAGCTT